TGTGTGTGTGTGTGTGTGTGTGTGTGTGTGTGTGTGTGTGTGTGTGTGTGTGTGTGTGTGTGTGTGTGTGTGTGTGTGTGTGTGTGTGTGTGTGCAAATTTCTGCTAGTCCTAATTTGGCAAGGTTTATAGGACTAGTGTCAATTTCTAACATTGATTAATCAAATTTCCTTGATCTTGCTATCTCAATAATGTCAAGACTACAGATCCAACTTCACAAGTGATTGCTATCATCAGCACAAGGGATGGGTTTCACTGGGTTTCACCTACAGATGAGTCTTACATAATCTAACAATTCAGATTCACAACATTCTCATCAGTCATTAGGGCCTGTTGTTCAGAGATTGTCCTGTCAATCCCCGATATGTCATATTTCTGTCAGTGTCAGAGTAATGAGCATGATAGCCAAGCTAGCACCCCTTCAACCAAACATCCCCCAAGGACTCCTGTAAATCAGTGTTCAGTTGTCCCTGCTGGCAATATAGTATCTGTGTCTAATACTTCCTAGCCTCTGTTTATGTGGAGTGAAAGGCAGTAAAGCCATAATCATAAAGTGATAACTTAGAAACACAACAATAGCTCCTTTGGTGGTTGTTGTGTCAGGGTGTATTCAAGGTAGAATGTTAAAAAACATCTCATGGAATACTGTTAGGTACCGGTATTCTGCACTGTACTTTATTTGAAAGTAATCGTGACTTCTAAACTGTTGAGATTGTTTAGTGGTTTGGTCTGGTTCGAGCCCTATTAATACTACCTACTGTTAACAAGGTCTTTCACTGATGTTTATGCTGACTGTTGACTTTGAGTTTTAATAGCTACAGTGAGAGCTCACTACTCAAGAGGGGTGGAGACATACCCAAGGGTATTACATGCTAATGTTTCAGTAAGTGCCAAAAATGTTTGAGTCTTTTGGCTTCAGATTGCCAGAGGGTCATTAAAAATTCACTTTAAAAAAATGGAGAGTCAACTTTGCCCTCTTTTCTGATAACTGGCCCATCATGTTCAAATGTGTCACTTGAACTGTAAGTACTCATGTCAGTCTGAAGCACTGATATAGCCCTATACAGAATAGCAAAGATGGATTCAACTTGATAACAGGACAACTAACCTATATGTGGAAAGTTTCTTTACTACATGAGTCTCAACTAGTCTGAACTAGTCTATTTTACACTTAGTTGTACAGTGATATTCAGTTTCCTTGGATAATTCCAGATATTTAAATTGAATTACCTTGAAAATGGTCCATTTGACCACTGTCCAACACAACAAACTTGACAAACAAAATAATCATGATAGAAAGTATTTGAAAAATTGTTCAGTACCTATTCATATTAAACCTTGAAAATATATTATAGAACCTTTAATAATTTCTATAAATATGGGAACAAAGATTTCAATTAGATTTAAATAACCTGTAATCATGATAATTGTGATGTGTTAGGCTTTATGAATGACTTTTATGAATTAATCAAATGGAACAAAGTAAACTGTGCACATTGTTGACTCTCTTATCGTGAATCATGTTGATCCTTTGTGAGTAATTAGGAAGTTATATTACGTTTAGTTCCTGTGAAAGAGGATGTTCATGAATGATCATGCTTAGATTTCCTCATGAAATAAAACTTGAAATGCATTACATCTAATAATTTACAATTTTGCAGGTCCAAAACAGTCATTGCTGTTAGTAATCTATTTTCCTCCATTTGAAGAGACTAGGCGGAAATTTCATTTGATGAATCCTTGTATTATTTCCCTCTCGCCCTTCCTCTTCCATCCTGTGCCCCTCCCCCTCTCAATGTTTTGCATGTATGCATTTTTATTATTTTATCATTTATAAGCAACTATAATCTCATCCTAATTTCTATGGAGTTTTTACCATGTAAAACAGACAGGAAGATGATGGTATGCATCGGTTAAGTCGCAGGTCAGGTCAGTGTGTGACCTCTGACCACTCAGATGTTTATAATCAACACCTGATAACATTGATGCCTGCAAGCCTGGCATGCTGACTCTGAGAGTGAAGAACACCAGTTCTTGATAAGATAACCATCACCCAACCCTTGTGGAGGAGATGTAATTAGTGGAACTCAGGAACAATAGTAGTCCTGCCCATAGCATATCGATGTTGGTTACTATACATGCTGTTTGGCTATAAACTATATAAAGGAAGATTTTGCGTTACAAGCAGTTAGATTAGATAGTTTGCTGGGGAATATTTTCTGGTATGTTTCTATCTGGTCAGAGGTCAAGAAGGGGTCAGACTGATTTTATCAGTTGTACCAGTTTTTCATATTTAGATATTTATTCAATGTTGATGAAAGATATTGACAATATTATCTCTGTGAATAATGAACAACAACAGTAATTATGGGGGATCTAAAAGGAATATTAAACTTTTCAAGCACATTTAAATAATTTGTCTTAATTTTTCTTTATTTTCATTTTTGTGGTTGGTTAACATGGTTAAAGAATTATGGAATAGTAGACTAACACTTAGTCAATGAAAACGTCTTTAAAATCATAAAAATATTTTTTCAAAGGATCTTTCCTCTTCTACTGTGTGGATTCAAGCAATCTAGACTTGGTTAATTTGATCTAGACTTGACTAGGCTTTTAGTAAAAAAAACCACCTACAAAATATAAATTCAACAGTCATGGTGCAGGACTAACGGAATAGTTTCAAAGAAAATCCAAAATAGGGTTGTAGAAAATCTTTGATTAGTTTTAAAGTTTGGTAAATATGTTACTCAGTTGTAAAACTACAATCTTCATTGCCGTACTACGTTAAACTTGGGAGTTTCTAGGCTCTTTCCCATGAATTTACAGATCACCTGCATGACTGATGTGTTGACATACACTCTGCCCATGAATACTTTGTGTTCACGCTGCATTTGTACAACGGCCACAGTGATTATGACAAGTGACAAACTGGGTTATTGCACACTCATGTATGTTACGATTGTTACATAGTAAATATGTTACTTCCCCTTGCTGAGAGGGGATTATCTTGACCGCATTGCCTGCTAAACAGGGGCCATAATAGTGTTATCATTACCTGCGTGTGAGATATTGAACCTTATGGAGATGTGTAAACACTGTGTGACATTACCCATGACCAAACCTGTTTGCCAGGGAGAGGCTACCACACAGGTTTGATGTCATGGTGTTCTTCGGTCAGATGGGAGGGCTGGGCTGCTGCTGCTGCAGATGGGATCATGACAACTCTGTCAGCTTGTTGCCCTCACTTGCCCTGTATTCACCTTAATTCTTGTAACCCATTTTGCAGGAACAAGTTGCTGTGCTCATTTTGACCACGCCCTGATATTTGTAATGGGTTGGAAATAATCATGATAATATAAGTGACTCTGTTGCTACTTGTAATAATGTCTGGACTTAATCGTTGTTAAGCACTATTGATTTATTACAATAGCCCCATTACCCCCTGGTCATGTGGTGTTGAAGGGATACATGTAAATCATGGCTATTTTCTTTAATAATAATCAGTTAAAATTAAAAAACATGAACCAAAAACCTAACTTTTTAGTACAATATTAGGCTGTCAGTATTTCTATATGTCATGTATGTTATGCAATCTAATGTCATCTATCTAATCTCTAATCTATCTGATACTGCCCTAGCTTTTGACACCAAAATCTGAAACATTGCAGGGTGAGTTCACTGGTTGTATATTCTGACAGTTACAATTTTTATAACTGACCCTTTCACCAGGTTTACTTTTGTTTACACTTCCTTACAAATGCAATGTCATGTCATGTTCGTTGAGTGTGCATGGCGTGACTCTTATATATTTCCTTAACTGATGATTTTTTTTTTTTTTTTCTTGTGTGACAAAACTATAATTGTTTCCAGATGGAAAGAGTTTTGAATGATACATATTGAAAATACCAAATTAAAAATCATATAGACTTATAAATATATTATGGGCTGATTGGATCAACATTATCAAATTTCAATTATTTCCACCATACTGATTCAGGTTTTTACCTTGACTTACAAAAGTGGGAGTCCCTCCAAAATTTATTTTAGGGGTCCTTCCAGGTACAGTAATGAAATGGTGTAGTGTACTGTACGTTTTGATAATTACTTCAGAGCCTGGAATGAACCAATGATCATGTGTACTGTTGTCACGATTGATGGATGAAATGACAAACACGTGTAACTGCTCTTGATGCACTGTAGGAACAATTAATACTATTGTGCATCCCTTGGGACACGGTAAATTCTTTTTATGCATCCAATCTCAACATTTGTGCGTAATGGATGCACGTCTGTGCATTGCATAAATCCCTGCTGAATGCCTTCATATTTGTCCCATCTATGCACTACCATGGTAGTTCCTGGTCAGAATACATCCCTAGTGCCCAGGAGGCGACTGATGAGGAAGGTGGTCGGTCCTGTGTCCTGGCTGATTGTGTCTGCCTGCACTGAAAGCATGGTTACTCTTCATGCCGTTAACTGATTTGCCAGGCCTTTTGGACTGGTCAATCTATTGAAGGGGAGCAAAATCTATCACAACTATATTGGTTGGGTTGGATGGGGTTAGGGGCATGTCAGTTTCTAGAAATAACACAGGTCATAGGCGTTCACCACCTTTGTGAAATCCACAATTATGGGTATGGTGCTGACAGACTTGAGATCATCCTCAATGCTAACCCTGCGTTCGAGCCGCTGGTCAAGCAGAATCTTGCACAGCCAGGTATTGTGCCTCAAACCACAGTCACCCATTCCCAAGGGAACATAAATGATGTGAAACAAAATGATGGGTTTAAAAAAGATTAACTTTTCTTCCTCACTGGTTACAGGGTTATGTATGTTGTTCAACGTCCTATTGCCAGTGAAAGCTGATGTGATCCAATATCAAGCTATTCATGACCAATGAGAATGTTGATGCGGAACTCATATGTCTCAGTTTACAACAACTCCCAGTGCCACCGCTAACCATGATTACATGCTGTTATTAAATGTTCTTGTTGTTTACAGATGGCTCTCCTCTGAATGGTTCCAAATTGATTGCATCTGTTAAATCGGCCAACCTGAAGGATTCTGAAATTCAAACCCTGATCGAGATTCTCCTCAACCGACAAGGCATCTCTACATCAGGAGCTGGAGCTGCCTCGGCCACAGAATGGAACAAGGTCACAAAATTGAAGTCAATTAGATTCTTATCACATGATTTATTTGGGAATGAATGCTTAGCTATGGTATCTGTATAGTTCATAAGCTTTTTAGCAAGATATACCATTAGTACCAAAGTCATTCCTGAAATGTGATCTTATTGAGCATTTGAATGTCAGCATAATTTATATTTATATGTCAATCATATGGAACTGATGGCTTTGTAGAGTATTAATATCTTTGTAGAAATGCTTATTCCATCTAAATGTAGTTTGTAGATGTTGATCTGCTGAACATGTAAACTTAAGGTATTGGTTTCAAAGCAGGAATTCACATCAACACACAGTAACATTTCAACTGTTTCACAATAGACTTTTTACTGTTTTGTTAATGACCAGCTGGTTATGTCATTTGTGCAAGCTCAGTAAGTTATTATGTTTCCCATTAAGTCTTCTGTTGATGTCATTGATATTCTGTAGCAGCTGTACTCGTACTGGAGTATTGATAGCTCACTCCCACAGCCACATGGTGTGAGACTGTTCCACGTGTTCAGCTCCTGCTTAGCTCTCTTTATCATACACCACAATTTATGATTATTTTAGGTCAGATAAACGTGATAAATTCAATTTATTTTTTTTATCTTTCAAGGCTAATAAGTTGAACATGCAGGCACAAACATAAAATATCTTATCAATACTGACTGAATATTGACTGAAAGCCAGTTATTAAGGAAACTTCCATAGTGCCACATGTACAATGTAAAGTTAATAATCTAATGACATTCTGTGACTTTAGCCGCTAGTCTGATGCTCAAGTCTAGTACAATTCTGTTTGGTCTAGTCAGCTCAGCCAACTAAGTCCATATTATAGCACTATAGTCTATAGTAAAATGATGCCTAAGAGGCATGTTCGTGCTAGTTGTCTCAACAGTTTATGGCACACTGACAGACTGTAAGCATACATGATATTGTGAAAAGATTAGCATGATTATTTAGGAATTCAACTTGTCCTGAAATGTTTACCAGGAAATCAACTTACAACCTAAACTTCCACTAACCCTTTAACTGTTACATCAGACAGAGTGACTCAGGCAGGTCCCAAGTTGCTTCACATTATTATATTTTTTATATATATTTTCCTCAGAAGTCTTTTGAGTCAGAAGACAAAATAAAACCAGGGTATGAAACTCCCCAAAATTTCAGCCAGACCACAGGACTGGCTAGCTGAAATACTTGCCAGCCCTGACCAAAACCTGCCTGCCCACTATAATCATATGTTTCTCAGGATAAGCTAACGGGGTTTCTTTTTGGTTACATTTTATCATTCATCTTTACATGTGAATTAATGCTTATCATCGGGAAATATTTTGAATATTTTCACATATGAAATATAACCCGACCGTCGGGCAGGGGGATTTGAAAATCTGGCAGCCCGAGTTGAAATCAACCCGTCTCGGACGGTCGGGCAGGCAGGTATTTCAAACACTGATAAGACAATTTGCAAGAACATAAAAACAACCTTTGTTTCTTTTTGTTTTTTATGTAAGTCCAGCAGACTATTTTTACCTATACATTGTTTCCTGCTGAAACACATATATGTGAAGTAGTGTGAATGTCACTTCTGTTGTCAACATCAACCAGATTCAGTAATTCCCTGTTTTACAGACACAGTTGTAGGCTGATTAGTTTCTAACTGTCACTCAAACTCAAAGTGTTCTGTGTAAATAAATACACAGTGCTTTATTGTAAATAGGTGAGTTAGACCTGCACAACACATGACCAGCTGACCATGCTCTCATTGACACCATCATGCTTACTGATTGACAGCTAGATAAACAACGATCAGCTGGATCATTGTTGTAATGCTGTTAATTGGATTATTCAAACACACTTGGGGGCACGGGGGGCACGGGGGGCACGGGGGGCACGGGGGGCACGGGGGGCCCAGTCGTCTAAGGTGCCACAATTTGCTGTGCAGAGTTGGGTCCCTTGGGCACGCCAGAAACCTATGATTGTGGGTTTGAATCCCAGTTCGCCCCGATTATGTTTCTAGGTTTGTCAGCACCATACCCATACTCATGGGTTTCACCAAAGTGGTAAACGTCTGAGACCTGCCTTACTTCGGGCTTTCCTCCTACATTAGGCTGACACGCTGCGATATAACTGGAATACTGTTAAAATCGGCTTTAAACGCAACTCACTCACTCAAACACCCTTTTTGTGAAGGGACAATGGATCTGCAGCACTAACAGATTAACATGTCAAATCATTTTATTCATTATTGAGTGGATGAATCAACAGGATATTGCTATTCAAGTAGCCATTCCAAAAAGACTTATTTTGACAATTTTGGCTGATAACTTATAATAATGTTTTTAATTAATAAATAATCTCATACATTTTCTTGATATTTGAAAGTTTTGATAAGTATGGATGAATATAACATCTAGCATAGTTTTGCTTTTTAATAAAGAGAATGCAGTTTTCAAAGATAAATGGGTTCATGTCATAACTTCGGGCTTTCCTCCCACATTGAGCTGACACGCCTTGATATGACTGGAATACTGTTAAAAGCGGCGTTAAACCCAACTCACTCACTCACTCATGTCATAACTATGTATTATTGGGATTCTTGGATACAAATGTTTCATGCCAATTACCTGAATATGCTGAAGGACCCTAGGGGCCTTAATTGTTAATAACACTGATGAGCCTCATGGGGGTTCCAGGGAGGATCAAGTCCCAAGTACCCCATGCTATGCATAAGAGTGGTTGCAATGTGTGACCTGATGATTGTGTGGCATCTTGACCGAATGGCTTGGATCGTTGCTCATGCAGTCAACCACTTGTCTGTCTGGTTCAGACTTTATTGTGTACAGGCTACCTTGAAATAGCTGGAATATAGCTGTCTGGCATAAAACAACATTCACTCCCTTAACACTGATTAGACATAACACTTGTGAGCCCTGAGATGTATCACTAAAGCTGGGTAAACTTCATGATACAGATTAGTTTGATTTCTATTGTGAATTTATGCTTTTTGTTTTCTAGAAAAGCCAAAAGGGAGACCCCACATCTCTGTTGAGGAAACAGCTGGAGGAGAAGGAGAGGGCCCTGCAGGAAGGTGAGTTGGTGGGGTGGGGGTGTTTATGGTTTAAGATTAACTGTTGGATGTGTAATGGGGAGATAGGTAGGGATTGCTGTAGGGTGGGTCGGTGGTAGTTGGGGTGAGGGTGTTTGTGTTTTGAGATTAACTGGTGGATGTATGATGGGGAGATAGGTAGGTATTGCTGTAGGGTGGGTCGGTGGTAGTTGGGGTGAGGGTGTTTGTGTTTTGAGATTAACTGGTGGATTTGTAATGGAGAGATAGGTAGTGATGGCTGTAGGGTGGGTTGGTGGTAGTGGTAGTGGGGGTTAGGGTGTTTGTGTTTTGAGATTAACTGGTGGATGTGTAATGGGGAGATAGGTAGGGATGGCTGTAGGGTGGGTCAGTGGTGGTGGAGGTGTTTGTGTTCTGGTTGATGTATAATGGGGAGATAGGTAGGGATGGCTGTAGGGTGGATAGGTGGGGGTGTTCTGGTTGATGTGTAATGGGGAGATAGGTAGGGATGGCTGTAGGGTGGGTAGGTGGGGGTGGGGATGGGGGTGTTCTGGTTGATGTGTAATGGGGAGATAGGTAGGGAGGGTGTGGGATGGAGGGTGTTTGTGGTTTACAAGTTATTGGTGCATGTGTAGTAGGATGGTGGATCTAGGGTGGGGAGGTGTTGGAGTATGTGGTGTAGATGGGTGTTGTGATGTAAGACTAATTTGGGGATGTGTGGTGGGTGAGTGGGTGGGGTGTTTGTGGTTTAAGAATAATTAGTGAATGTATGATGAGAATGTGTTGGAGTGATAGTTGTCTGGGTCGGTGTTATTGGGGCTAATTTGGGGATGTGCATCTTGGAGGTGTCATGTGAGTTTGTGGACACGAGACGAGAGGTGAGGTGGATAAACACTGAAGGCACAAAGGCAGTTAACATACTGGGTGAAGTGGTTAAGTGGTTAAGTCGTTAAAACACTTTTACTTTGAACACCGTCTCAAACATTAAAGATGAGACAGTAGGTATTAAGTGATGTTGTTGGTTAATTTTCAGAGCAAACCATAGCGATGTCTGCCAGCAGCCGTGTCAAGGAGTTGAGACAAGACTTATCATCAGAGAAGGCCAAGTTTGCCACACTGGAAAAACGCTACCAAGAAAAGCTAAGTCTTCAGGAGCGTGAGATTGAGTCTCTGCATGCACGCATGCAGAACACCCACCAGCAACACATGAGGGACTCGGAGGCCTTGCAGTCGAAAGTGGCACAGCTTGAGACAGCTGGCGACAGAAACGTCATTCAAAAACTGCAGGAGGTAGGTTTAAGGTTGATGGTTGTCACTTGAAATGTTCATATTGTACTTAGAGCTTAAGATTCATCAATAATCTGTTGCTGTGATATTGCTGACTATGTTAGAGCCCAGTTATCACTCCTATTGCTCATTGACATTTTCTCCCCTTCTTTTCCAGGAAAAGAAGATCTTAAGTGAGACACTGGCCAAAACAGCGTAAGCTCATGAAAAAAACAATATATGTATACCATCAGTAGCACATTGAGATATAATCTTTATGATTAATTCCTCTGAAAAGCATCATTTTTCCCTTGCTGTTGGAACACATGCAAAACGTTTGTTCCATGTAAACATCAGGGAGGTGGGGTAGCCTAGTGGCTAAAGCATTCGCTCATTACGCCAAAGACCCAGGTTTGATTCCCCACATGGGTGCATTGTGTGGACACCATTTCTTGCTGGAATATTGCTGGAACCCTACTCACTCACTCCATGTAAACAGCAACCAGTTCATTTATAACCAGGGAACGTTCAACTTGTGCTTACATTAAATTAAACTATCTAAAACCAACAATTTATGAAAAGTGTATTAATGTAAATAAATAATCAAGGTAGTGTGTTTGTAGTTTGACTAGCATAGTTACTTAATCACTTGCTTATCGTACCAATCTTCCATGTTGCTCTGTCAGGAGCGAGAAGACTATTTCCCCGGCAGAGGTCAACAACCTCAAACAAAAGGTGCAGATCATGGAGAAGGAATTGTCTAGCAACGCCATCAAGCTGAACGCCTCAGAGAATGCCAAGAAGTCACTGGAACAGAAACTTGCCAAGTTTGAGGATCAGCTGAAGAAACATGATGCAGGACAGGTAGGCTAAGATCAGGACGGACACACTGTGTCCCTGGTGTTCCAGTGTAAAGCTTGAACAGCATGTGTTTAGTCCGGGTATAGTGTGGCAGGGAACAATAGGTTAGTAGAACAAGGCTAGCATAGGTTTGTCCGCGTGTTCCTGTCATGACAAATGGTGCGAAGACTTTTGCGTCTCTTAGTTAATGGACTCGAGACTAGAGCTCAACAAAATCCACTATGATTTTAGTCAGTCTGTGTTGAAGCGTGGATGTTACAGTAATCTGCATGCATCATATCACTTGTAAAGTGGTGCCAGGGATAGACACCATATCCAACTAGACGCAGCGCTTTTTGGACAAGTATTTTATGTAAGATACTAAATTTCTTTTGAAAACTACAAGTCCCTTTAGATTTTCACCAGCCTCGGACCGTTGATCTGAACATTCTGAAATCTTACTCGGCATAAATAATGATGATAAAGGGTGGTTGAAAATTAATTCAAAGCAGAAATGGGACAAAACTGTTTTCAATCGAATGGAATATGATGTTTTATTGATGATTGTTGATTCTGACTCTGCAGAAGGACTCTGACGTCCAGATGACTCGCAGGATGGAGGAAGTAAGCCAGGAGCTGCGTCGTGCCGAGGCCCGCAACGATACACTTGTTAATGACAAGAAGAAGGCTAATGGAGAGCTTACCAAGGCAAATGACGCTCTGAATAACGCCCAGCAGGAAGTGAGCACACTCAAGTCAAAACTGCAGGAGTTAGAAAAACATCTATCAGCCAGTGATAACCAAAAGGAACTTGAGACAAAATTACAGGTACTGTGTTCTTATTGCTTATAATCATCTTTTGAAATTTATGACTCTTGGCATCATCTTTTTAATAAACATCTTAATCATTGTAAGTTTTATGACTGACTAATGGGATTCCCAAAGAACTCCAGGTAGTAGGTAAATTCCTGATAGATATACATTGAAAGAATTTGTTTTTGACAGTAACAGTCTTGTCCCATGCATTTTATTATAGATGCCTGCAATCTTATTTGATAAACATTCAAATCACTCTGTACGCTATTAAGAGCTTCAGTTTCTTTGTGGTAATTGCAAAACTGCCCCATTCATCCTGCCACAGGATGCTTTAAGTCAAGAATTCCAAGATAAATCTCCGCCACCTTTAATATAAATATGAAAAGCCACAGCATGTTTAGATAATATTTCAAAATGGACTCCAATCTTTTACTCACTTTTACTCCCATTGCAGGAATCAGAGAGAAAGAAATTGGATTTAGAAGGAAATATTAAAAATTTGGAAAAACAGCTTTTTGTCATACAGAAGCAGCGAGCAGAGCTTGAATCAGACATGAAGGTAAATATAAACTTGAAGTCTAATGTGACTGTATATATAGCTATTTAAAGAGAATCAGATCATACATTAATAAATGCCCATGTGAGATGTTCGACTAATGGGTCATGATGCTTTAAACATGTTGTCTTTAAGTCAACTTAATTGTGGGAAGAAAATCTAAAGTGACAGGTGATATTTGCCATGTCAATGAATCTCAGCCTAGTGCTGACAAATCAAGGATCATGATTTGGGATTCAACCTGCAGGATCTGCCAGCAAGGATACACTTTGCACAGTCAGGGCACCTGACACAACGTTGCTACAAATGTGCTTTAATGGGTGTCGAACGTTTGCACATGTTTAGAATAGAACATTTGCACATCTTTGGCATGTACCGTACAACATGAGATTTGAAATATATTAGAGATCCTACTTTTTTAGCTGAAATTAATTTTCTCTGTTGCAAAGTTCCTGATCATCATGCTACTTCAGATATGAGAATACAAAGCTATGGTTTGTTTTGTGTATATTTGCAACATGGACCCTATTTATTCTAATTGCAGGAATCAGAAATAATAAATGGGATTTAGAAAGAAATGTTAAGCATTTGGAAAAACAGCTTTTCGTCATTAAGAGTCAGCGAGCAGAGCTTGAATCAGATATAAAAGTATAAAAGATATAAATATAGTTTCTTTGAGATATATTAGAGCTTACTTCTGTTATAGATATATGATAACTCAGCTACTTTGTCAAATGTAGCCTCAGGAGACAAAATATTTTGATACAAAATCCATCTGATGAGCATCCATGGTAACACCTGCCATCGCTTGTCTTAGTCGCTGCAGCAGGAGAACTATGCCTTGGCGGAGGAGATGAAGACCACCAAGGAGAGGCAGGCAGGGGAGGGACAGGAGGCCCCAACAGCGCCGGCCGGAGCTCCCAACGGGGATGTCCATGAGAAGGCAGATGGGAAGCAAATTGAAATCAGGGAGCATGAAAAAATGTAAGTGTAGTCAAAGTTAAAACCTACCACATGCCAGTTTAGTGCTTATACTGTTTGAAAAGAAGCAAAGAAGGTGGCATTAAGTGTTGCACATGTGCCCAATCCCGTTGTCTTTTTGGACAGTAGATATTTTCTAAACCAAAAAAGAAGTACCATGACTAGTCAAAGTTCTATGATCATTTTGTACAAGTGTTCTCTGTTTTTTTTTATGTAAGGCAGGGGTAGAAACTAACATTTTTAGTCCACTAGTCCTTGTAATGATAACATATAGCAAAACCCTTAAAAATGGCAAATTTCTACTAGTCCTTAGGATAACTATTGGGCAGTTTGGCAAGGACTACAGGAATAGTGCCAATTTCTAACGCTGTAAGGTATGCTGATTGACTGCTAAGTTTGTCTGGCTAGGTAATAGACTATTGCGAGGGGGTGGAATTGTCTACTTGCCTACTAATCTGATATTTAAATATGTAATATGTAAATAGGAGCTATTGAAAATAATAATCAACATGTGATTAGTTCAGTTGAATTATTCAGAGTGGCTTGGGTTTGATGCCCATGTATTTCAGTTATATCACAACATTAAATAAATATTGACTTTGGTCATTTAAAAATATTCCCAAAAAGCGACTGGGGCAGGTGTCTAAAACCTTTTGTTTCATCAATAAAATGGTGTTGGATTTATTCTTCAGACTTGGAGAGAAATTGGCAGAAATTGGCAGACTGACCACAGACATTCAGTCGCAGAAACAACAGGTGTCATCATTACAGGAGCAGCTGGATGCTCAGAAGAAGAAAAATAACGTAAGTACATGTATAGACTTTCCCTGTTCCCCTGGGGTGTGATACAGTAGTTAGCTTCCTGGTGTGGTGCATTGTGGGAATGTATACAGTGTGGACCATGACTGTAGCTTACCAATACACAGAAACATTCTGCACCCACTCCGTGCTGGGTTGTGCCATTGGTTTGCAATAGGGCTTGGACGATACACCAATGGTGCAATATGCTAAATATCACGATACCTTGCTCACGATCCAATACGTATCATGATACTTGCGCATGGTCTTATCGGTAAGCCATCTTTTTAATAAACAGGATAGCCAAATACTAACAATTTACTGTTAGCAGTGTCAAGTATGGCGCAGTGAATGAAATATTTATGTTTTCACTACTGTTTTTACACTTGTAATTTGTGTTTGGTGAAACATTTATTAAAGGATACATTTAAGGTCAGAATCGATACCTTTTACTCAGTGTGCGATTGTGATCTATACTTGTATCAAGAAGTTAAAAATCTGCTTCGGCGTATCGACCCACTACTAGTTCGCAATGCTGACTAGTTTTGCATTGCAACTCTCTTCCTTTTTGGGGGTCAAAGTCATAATCATGTTAACAATCTTCTCAGCCGATGGAGAAGTTACATGGAACACACTGTAGACATGATCAATGTACCAGTCTATTCCCTGGCCTGGTGAAATGGGTGGTACATGTTTTTATCAGCTCTGTTTTCAACTTGTCAATCCAACCTGTAGCAAGTTAAGGAAGAAATTGTGTTTTTTCATTTACATTTTTGAATTGTCACCCCTATGCATTATAACATGTATGCTGCGATAACATAACCATGCTACAATGTTGGCTAAGATGTCGACATAAACTCAGAATGTTATATTCGAAACTACCCATTTACTCACAGGTAGTATGATACTTGTAGCTAGTCTGCACATACCCACTCCTCTTGTAGCCCTCACATGTTGACTAACCATGGTTTAGTTTGAAAGGAAATAGTTCAACGACATAGAAACCATAAATTTAAAGTGCTGATATAATCAACAATTGAGTATACTCTTAAACGATTAGCTCTATACCTCATGCTGTGTTAAGAAGAAAACCATAGCTCGAACTCTGAAGCCTTAGATCTTAGATCTACCATCTTCCCAAGGCAAGAGCGTCCACTAGCCTTTTTGTCAAAGTCTTGTTTCCACCATTGCCATATCAAGCCCACTTTCCTCTGCTAAATATGATTGGACTATCGCACATATCGATAGTCCAATCAGTGAATGTTTCACAATATCATCATCCACGACTGGTACACCCTCGTATGCCTGTCTTTATTGACATGACTACATTTACGATATGGCATGAATATGTCTTTTTCATGTTTTTATCCCCCCAACGATTGCAGGGATGAAATCGCGAATACTTTCGTTATCTGATCGACTAGGTCGTCACCTATGGTAGTTGCCATCTTTGTGAAGCTGTACGAGATAAGAACAGCAGTCTTATTGGATATCACGTTTTCATTACAAGGGGCATTACTCGTGATCTACGTCAGGTGGCGCTGGGGTCGAGCCAATAAAAGTGGCCTCCATGTGGCAAGGGTAGAAACTAGGCTTTGATATATGCTAGTGGAGACACTTGCCTCGGGAAGATGCATATCTACAGGCTTGTAGCCTACAGTTCCTGACTGTTAATAAATAAACTGACGCTAAGACTTATCTGTATCAGTCTCAGAACAATGTATGTGATGCATTGACATCCAAATTTTGGGATTTACCAGCCTGTATCAATGTGGCTTTATGAGCAGTTATTCAGGGTTATTGAATTAAATGCAAACTTACAGTGTTATCAGTGATATGTCCTGAGGAAAGGTTTCACATACCGGTTCTGTAAATCATGAAATTTATGCGAAATGTGAGAGTGTCCCTTTTTGGCATTAATAAGTGTGGCATTTTGATCTGGACACATTGGATTAGTACATTGTCATGTCAGGTTCACTCACATGGGAGGAAACAGTCACATATACAACAAATCTCACATTAAACACTGTACTGGAGTTCCTCACCAATAATTGTATGATTATAAGCAAACCACAGCTCACCCACATGGTGCAAGTGTCCAGTACAGCTGTCATGGTGAACACATTCCACTGCAGATTTACATTGAAAGGATCGCACCAACTTGTGTAAGAACACTTGAAACTGTACCATCTTCCTCAGTTACCTGATCTGCGTCATATGAAGCAGACCCATGAAGATCCAGGGTAGAATAGGTCTTCAGCAACCCATGCTTGTCATAAAAGGCGACTATGCTTGTCATAAGAGGCGAGTAACGGGATTGGGTGGTCAGGCTTGCTGACTTGGTTGATGCATGTCATTGTATCCCAATTGCATGGATCGATGCTCATGATGTCAGTCACTTGATTGTCTGCTCCAGACTTGAAAATTTACAGACCACAGTCATATATAGCTGGAATATTGCTGAGTGCGGCATTAAGCAACAAACAAACAAACAAACAATCATATGAAGTAGGCTACTGACATTAATTTCATGACACATTTAGGCCTGGGACCGATACTCACATTAACTTGGTTTACGCATTACTTTCATGATTTACAGTGGTCATATAGCTTCAGTGACTGAGGATCAACACAAGTATATAAAATGCTGTATGGACTCTGTGTTTATTTGGAGATTTAGATTGATGAGGGGTGAATGTACAAAGACAACCTGTGTGTGAATTAACATTCAACTAATGCGTCTTGTTTATGTGAATACTCACCTGTGTTGCTTGGTCATTCTAATCAGTGCTAGGTTCATCATTGCTCATCACTGAAATGATATTATTGTTCATTTGTTGAGATAAACAAACATTCATTTTATGATGTTACAGATGATAGGTTAATTTAACAAAAATGTTTGGAAAATACATAATAATGGAGAGGAGGTGGTATAGGTATAGGGTTATCTAATTGAGTTACCATGGTTACGGTCAGCTGTGATGTTGTGTACACTTTAGTGTTCTGATTACCATTGCAGGAATTACGGGAAAAGAACTGGAAAGCAATGGAGGCGTTAGAAAAAGCTGAAAAATCAGCCTCAGTTAAAGTTGATAGTGCTGTCAAATCCTCTAGGGTAAAGCCATTTTGATTTGATTACCCTTAACCAACTCATCTGTGAGACTGACAAACTGATCATTTACCTAGCACAAAATGTCCTCACAAGTCCACATTGCAATCAGTGTTGCTTGTATCAGTTCTGTTGCTTATGTTGGTGATATATTAGTAACTAGGAAATGGTTATGATTATTTTGATTATTTTTTAAGATGTAGATGTAAAGGGTACTAACTCCTTGATCTGTCCAGCACATTTGCATGATGTTGATACAACTTGTATGTCTGCATGATCAGCCGATGATGAAATGTCTCACTTTAACTAATATGCATGTCCTTTGTCTTCTCCCACATGTGTAGGATGTAAGTATGTCTTGGTTTTCATTGGACCAGTGGCCTGGGATTGGGATGGTGTGTTGCATAACTGATCTCAAACAGAACTTAGAGAAACATCAGAAGTGCCTAAATAAGTAGATACATCAGTGTTCAAAATGACTCCAACCGCCTCCGTGGTCTATTGGTAGAGCGTCCGGCCGGAGAGCGGAAGGTCCGGGGTTCGATCCCCGACCGCGTCATACCAAAAGACGTTTAAAGATGGTACTTGTTGTTACCCTGTCTGACGCTCGGCATTAAGGGGCTAAAAAACAAGGACTGGTCGGCTCGGAGTCAGTATACTGTGTCTGAGTGGGGTATTCATGTTAAACTGCGGCATGGTATTTCAGTGAGCTAGCACTATAAATCGGCATCAGTCCGGACTAGTACAAGCAGCCACACAAACACACACACGTACATGCACGTCGCTATATAAGTGCAATACTCTTGGACGCGACGTTAAACCCCATTTCACCTCACCTCACCTCAAAATGACTCCAAATGGTCAGAGAGACTAACTTGGTAAAAGTACTTTCCCTTAGCAAAGAATCTTGCAAAAATGAAGATTTGTTAATAGACGTTTCAACAGTGCAAGAAGAGGGGAAGTTTTATTGTCTCCCCTTCTGACGTGTATGGTGCATAATCCTGTTATCAAGAGGGATTCTGGACTGACTAGTCCTGTGATTGCACATCTAACACTCATTCATATGGTTATTGTGAAAATTCAGATTTGACTTCCAAGAAATGTATGTATGTGGTTATAAAGTATGTGAAAAAAATATCACTAGACAGCTGTGACTTGTGCTTATCCTCCTGTATACTACTGGGCACATGATACTGCCAAGCAGTATTTCAAACACAGACAACCTAATGCCACAGAGGAGTATTTAAAAAAATATGTTTTCTTCAAAGAGAAATTTTTTGACATTAGCAAGAAATGACTGTGATGATCCACCTGAATTGAAGTGTCACAATAGTTGGAGCCATGATGATTCTATTGTTTTAATAGGGATGTCCCAAAGACAGGTGTTGGGCGGTGGGGTAGCCGAGTGGTTAAAGCATTCGCTCATCACACCAAAGACCTGGGTTCGATTCCCCACATGGGTACAACCTGTGAAGTCTATTTCTGGTGTTTCCTGCCGTGATATTGCTGGAATATTGCTAAAAACATTGTAAAACTCTACCCACTCACTCATCCACAGACATGTGATCTGTGTAGATTTGTGTGAATCAAACATTTAAGGGGTTCTCAGATACAACTACTTAAGCAGCAAACCTCAGGTCCCCAGGATTCCCCTATATATCGAAACACTGTAAACTGTTCCGCCAAGACATTTTGGCAAAGTGAATCTATACTGCCCCAATGAAAGCCATTTTTTACCCAGGCATCACACTCGTCAAAGTAAAGAGTGGATTAGGACCGTTGGTGGATTAGGACAGGAAGTGGAGTAGGACAGGGAGTGGATTAGGACTGGAATCAAACCTGAAAGTTGACCTAAACATGATCTCTCTCTGTTTACTAAACATGCTAAATGAGATTGATCTCTTTCTCTATGTTGCTTAGGACAGGCCAGTTTGTTTTCTTGTTTTCTTGATTTCTTTGGTCAATATGTCACCAGCAGGAGGCAAATAACAAAATTAACAAAACTTGTCAGGAATCAATTAAGGTTAATTTACAAAACAACTCTTGAAATAAACATTTTAACACGAGAGATGGTGAAAAAGAAATTGTTCTGATTAAATCCAACATTTTGAAATGTTTTTAGTTAGAGCATCCACAAAACAAGATATAAGCTGGTCTGGCCTTAACATTTAATGAATGGCAAGAACATTAAGGACTTTGCTTGACTCTGCCTTTTTTGTCACCTTTTCACCTTCTGCACTTCCACAGCAGAGTACATGCTTCAATCTTTCCATCCCGCATAGATTAGACATCCTTTTACCTTGGATTCTTTATTATCAGAATGTATGTATAATAAGTCACTTGACTGATTTATTCTACTCATGTTTGTTTCATGTTGATCTGAAATATCTCCATTCCCTAACTGTTGAAGGAATCCATACCACTTCACAATGTGTGTTATCAGCCATGCAGCAGAGTGTTAAATCCTAATACATTTGATTGTCCTGTTATTAGTCAATGCATAAATGTTTTTGTAAACAATGTACGATGTATGACATGAACAGGTGGAAGCACAATGCCGTTGTTTGATCTGGTGGCTGTCAAATATTTGTTATCCCAGTGACCTTTGTGGGAGCTCTGTCTGAATTAAGCGGGTCACTGTGTCCGAGTATGTGGGATTCATTTCAGTCATGTGGCCCCACAGCTCGGTCAAAGGGTCAAGGACGTATTTCAAGTCATTTCTGAAGTATCATGTTGCTAAAAAATACTGATCACTTGTCCTTTGCCAACTGCATACATTTACTAATGATATTCAAACAGGCAGATTAATCATTGGATGTGGCTAAAATATTTCACTAGAGCATATTTTAGTAGCTGATCCAGAGTGGCACTGTTAAAGGAAGACTTTCAGCAATACATGCTGTAAGGGTATGTCTTGATAGGAACGTTTGACATAAGTTGAAGTTAAGGCCCTGTTATGATTTTGTTCTTTGGTGTAAAGTTTAGTTCATTGAGTTTTCTCCCCTCCACAGGAGAAGAGTCAGGCGCAGGTGTCTGAAATAGAGGCTCTGGATAAAGGAGTCTTACAAAGGATCTTCCCAGACATCGCTGTAAATGCCAAGCTGGTACGTACTCTTAGCTTACTGTCTGAGTGGATTAACACCATGTGTCTAAACTTGCAGGAGTTGTCGTCAAGAAGGAGGTGTCCTGAAAATACTCCTGCATTTGTTAAAATGCTTTTCATTCAAGAGTTACATAGCTAAGAATGAGATACCACATTTTTATAATCCATACCTAGTAACTTCTCATACTATTCAGTGTTCAAAACTAACCATGAAGGTCAAGTCATCTTTGTCATAATTCTAATGTTAAAAGTTTAAATTTTTGGGGGGTGGCTTAATTAAAAAACTATAGCAGCAATCCTCAAGGACCCCCTTCAAACATTGCTTTCAACCCTGTATTGATGGATGTTGGTTTTCATTCAGGTTCATAATGACTGGATGGGTCAGTTTGAGAGGGAAGCATCAACATACATCACAAACATCTCCTCCAAGTCCTCAGAAGTGGGTAACATTTCATTCATTTAATCCTTGTCTGATGATTGTCCACTGCAATATCTGTTGAACCAGCTGATCACACCTCTGTTATACAATTATAGACTTCATATGAGGTCAATACCTGTTTTTATGCCCCCCTCCCAAAGCAATATCAACTTCATGCAAGGTCAATACTGCTTTTTATATATATTACCTGTATATTAAAACAGGTATTGACCTAAAAAAAACTCTTTAAGTGTATGATGTTATTGCAAATTAAGAGGTGCAGAACCACATATTGTATAAATAGCAATCCATGGGTGAATAATTCCACCCCTACTTACATCACAGCTTGGTTTTTATATTGTGGCATTTTGTCAGTTGACGACAAAAGTAGTGACAGTTTTATCATCAATGTTTATAGTGAAGCATTCACGCTGAAATCATCTGGAGTAACAAATTTCTGAAATAACAAATCATGGTATAGTGAAATGCCACTTTTTATCATAAGGATCCCGACCTGACAAGGTTTCACTGTATAACATCTCTTCTTGCAGAGTGCCGCCCAGGACTCCAGGGTCCAAGAACTTGTGTCCTCAAATGCAAAGTTACAGTCACAAGTGTCAGAGTACAAGCAGCTGGTTACAGATGCTGTGAGTTCTCTCGAATCCTGTTTTACTTGGGCATAGCTCATACAGAAGGGGACATCAATACAAGTAGAATAATGAAAACACTTGATATTTGAACACTACTTTAAAACAAATCATCTTGTACTGCTTGTGCAGTATTCCATTTGTTGCTGTATTGTAGGAGACTGTTCTGAGTGTGGTGTACTGTAGGAGACCCTGGACTAGGTGTGTTGTATTGTATTTACTGGGTCTCTTGGCTATAGGCGACCCTTAACTGGGTGTGTTGTACTGTAGGAGACCCTTTACTGGGTGTGTTGTACTGTAGGGGACCCTTTACTGGGTGTGTTGTACTGTAGGAGACCCTTTACTGGGTGTGTTGGGTTGTAAGAGACCCTGGACTAGTTGTGTTTTGCTGTAGGAGACCCTGGACAGGGTGTGTTGTATCGTATTTACTGGGTGTGTTGTACTGTAGGAGACCCTTTATTGGGTGTTGTACTGTAATAGACCCTTTATTGGGTGTTGTATTATAGGAGACCCTTTATTGGGTGTTGTACTGTAAGTGACCCTTTATTGGGTGTTGTACTATAGGAGACCCTTTACTAAGTCTGTTGTATTGTATTTACTGGGTGTGTTGTACTGTAGGAGACCCTGGACAGGGTGTACTGTACTGTAGGAGACCTTTTACTGGGTGTGTTGTGTTGTAAGAGACCCTGTAGGACACCACACTCCGCAATATTCCAGCTATATGATGGAAACCTGTAACTAATTGAGTCTGTACCAGACAATTCATTCAGTCTCTTTCTAACCAGTATCTGTTGTGGGGGTTCTATTCTAACCCTGAATCCCCATGGTGGACCTTGTACTGAGTTTGTTGTTTTGTAGGAGACCAAACTGCAGCAGCTGGAGAAGAGTGTGGAATCCGAGGAGAAGAGGTGGAAGAAGGAGCTTCAAGAAGCACAGTCAAACCTCAAAACAGTCAGTATACATTTCTCCTTACCTTGTATGTGCATTAAAGTGTGATGAAATGCATCCATGTTGATTCAGTGACTAATTAGAAAGAAGAACAATTAAAACACTTACCCTAACAAATTATGACAATCTCTCAGCTCTTTTCTCAAAATGAATCTTATGACAACTGATGAAGACGATATGATTCCAGCTGCAAACCTTCCTTTGTTTCACATGAAACAATTTCAAGGTGCATTTGTTGCTGTGCCTCAATTCCCATGTTTATTTTGGCATTAAACATGGTATAGACAAAATGGAAAATATGAGTGAGTCGTGTGTGAAATGATCATTTAAATATTACTTCCAGGAAGTGCAGATAGGTACTTACGTTGCAATTAACTGAAGATATGATAACAGTGAAACAATGTTATGATGGACCCTAGTTCCTGAGAAGTAGTGAGAAATGTTATTATGAATTACATGTTTAAGATTTAGTGAACTGATTTTAAAATATCCTTGCTGTTTATTATGTCGAAAGTTGACAGAATGTTTTCATGTGTTTAAGAGATGACAGGCCTCAAATATACTATTTTCCTGAACTGTCAACAGCCAAGCACACAAAATGCATTTTTGAAGAATAATTATCTAAACAGGCCTTTATTGGTTTCTTCCCCACTTTATCAGAGTACAAGCCGAGTTAGTGAATTAGAGCAGATAATGACAAAGTACAAGTCGGAGGTTACAGTCATCAAGAAATCCCTAGCTGAGACAGTGAGTGGTGAAGCAGGGGAGATTACTCTGCCCCGTTCAGTCAGTCCATGTAACCATGCTGCTTTCTCTGTGCTGCTTTTATAACACAGCATTTATATGTTATGTCTTCAAGTTTCTTGGTTTCATGACACAAAATAACTTGTCATTAACAGCATTGGCGTTATTTAGTGGAACTGTATTCTTACCCTCTGCCTTATATAACCAATGGGACACTATGACTCTTGGAATTCTGCTTGGAATCACATATTTCTTGAACTCTCACTAACAGGGTTAGGCTATGAATTCAGGTTCACTAACACACACATTAGCTGCATGTCAGCTTGTGTTGCTTTTTCAGCAGCATCTAACATGTGGTATACCTTGGTCCGCTTGGACAAAGCAATCTTAGTGCTTAGGCTGTTGTAAATCTCATACAGTGACATTCCTTCCGAATAGTCGTGGCATTAAGATTGCTGTGTGCAGTTGGGTCTCGCCATGATGGTCAGCTGCTTTTTTTACATATCACCATTGGTTACTATGTTCTTACGACTACTGATGCATTTCTTTTTTGCCATTGATATTATTCATAGGCTCAATGCTCTTCACCTATGTATGCATGCTTTTGTATTCCTGGGGCCGTATTTATCAAACAACTTAAGTCATAAATAAAACTTAAGTCAGTTAAAAAAACTTAGTTTTCTTGTTTTTTTACTTAAGTTTAGTGGAAAAACTTAAGTCATATTTATCAAAAGACTTAAACTTAAGTTTTGTCATTTTCTGACTTAACTATTAAGACTCACCTTGCTAGGCTTAAATCATGTATGTTTGACTTTTTTCGCGTCTTCGGTCATGGCGTGGGCCTATCTTGGAGCTCGCAGCGGTGTTTATTATCGTCTGCGCTGTCCGGGAATTCCCCGATGACGTTTTTCTCTCTCTATGTGAAAAGAGTTCCACTGGTAGGCTAAAAATAGCTGGGATAGTCCTTAGTGATCACGTGTTTGCATTCGGTGAAATCGACTTAGTTTCTCACGGCAGACTTAGCTAAGTTTTTTACTTAGACGCTTCGTGAATACCAACTTAAGTTTTTTACTTGGCTAAGTAATTTTTCAGAAACTTAAGTTTTTTTTAAAGTCAAAACTAAGTTGTTTGATAAATACGGCCCCTGTGTTTTTGATACTGATATTATGACTTAGCCTTTGCTCCAGGCTTTATCATGATACATAGGGCCTTAATGATTCACTATTCCGCAACAACAGTAGGATTTTGACATCATATGATGCACAATATCATTGATACTGCGAGTCTTAGAAGCTGTTACATCATTACCATAAAGTATTTGCAGTTCATAATCATATTAGGCAGAGTATGTATCTAGATTCCAATACTATGACTAAAGAAATGAAGGTTTTCAGGACCCCTCAATTCCATTTGTAATGGAAGCATGACTCTGTTTATCAGTTATTTATTATATCCAAACATCACCACCATGTATACAATGTGATGCTCCAATAGTTCAGTGAATCGTTACGACCCTAGTAAACTTTATGATCCTACGATGTGTTCATCAACTGAGTCAGGTTTGAACATTCATGTTACATTTATGTACTAATGAAGTCAACTCCCAACATTTCTAACTGATAATGAACATTCTTTGATAAAGGTTGATATGTTAAAGGATTTAATATAAGGAAAAAGGCTAACTGCCATTTATGATCTATTCTATAGCTAAAATGGCATGACTTTGATCCAGATTGTATCATCAGCATGAGAAGTGATGCTATTCTTTTTCTTCCGTAGTATGTTCAACAGACTTGTACCGGTATTTAAATTACTGCTTTTGTCAAGTGCTGTCTCTGTCTGTACAGGAGAAGCGTTTGGGTGAGGCAGAGTCAAACAGTCAGCTGGTTAACGAGAGTCGGGCAGAATCTACTGCAGTTGAAGAAAAGGTTAGTTCACTTACATGTGATTCATGAGGCCTTGTATTGGCTCCGTGAAATTGGGCAAGATTTATGTATAATGAAGAAGAATCAGAATCTTACTTTGAATATTTGTAACTATCTATGATAGTAGCAAGGGTTATAAATAATTTTTTATTTTCATTAATCAGCAAAAATTATCAGCAAGAGTTGCCATCATTCTAATGGTAAAAGTGGTAGTCCACAACGGCACAAGGAAATTTGCTGGACTGTAATCACGGAAGATCTAATAATTGTTACCTGACTGCATTGGTTTAACTTCTCAATCACAGGCCACCAGGAAACATTGGGCAATTAAGGATCCCCCTTAATCTTTAACTTCAACATTGTGATGATGACAAGGACCCCTTGACTGTCATGCTTAATTTTCACCTCTGAACAGCGTTAGAAATTGGCACTAGTCCTGTAGTCCTTACCAAACTGCCCAATAGTAAAGGTATCCTAAGGACTAGTAGAAATTGGTCATTTTTAAGGGTTTTGCTATATGTTATCATTATAAGGACTAGTGGACAAAAACTGTTAGTTTATAACCCTGCTGAATGACTACATGTGAATAAGATTTATCTCCCTTACACCATAAGCTGCAGTGGACACAGGGTACTGTGGTTGACAAGGGATGTGTTATGTTTCAGTGCCGTCAGTTCCAGGAACGTGTTGGCCAACTGGAGGAGAGCAACTCACAGTACGAGAAGCAGGTGCAGGAGTACCGGAATGTCCTCGCTCTCACGGTAGGGACAGTCTCTCCTCCATACAACTGTTTCTCAGATAGAGCCAGACAGAAACTTGTCATGCCCTTTCGTTTAAGCTTTGGTTCAAGCACAAACATATTCTGTATATTTGCCTATTATGAATTGTCATAAATTAAACTGACTAAACTGAAAGAACATTTAATAGACTTGGGTTTCAGACAAGTTTCTGAAGTTCCCGACTGGTATATTAAAGGGGGACTAGCTTCACAGTACCTTTCTTCATTCTTGGTGGGGATATTGCAACCTGTGACTAGTGTCACACCTGGATACAATCTCTGAATTCAAGATAATCTTCAACTTCTAAATTGAGTTTACAGACAAATATATATGTATTTTAAAAACTTGAGTGAGATTAGGTAAGACTGCCAGTTTGTGAGAGTGTCTGTTTACCTCTGCAGGAGGACAAGCTGAGCCAGCTGGAGCAGCAGGCCAAGTCCGAGGAGTCCAGGTGGCAGGACAAGATCACCAGGACAGAGACAGATCTTCAGCAGGTCAGGCACCTCTCACTCTGCAGGGCAGTCTTCCACACTGACAGCACATGCAATTTGTTTGCAATTATTACTGTAACTGTTCAAAGTTTGGACAAAAAGTTTGATAGTACTTTTAGTAGTGGATTATTTCAGATGAAAGGATAAGATGAAGAAAATAACTGTTTTTTTAGATTTCTATTTTTATTTCCTTATTGTTTCTAATGTGGTTGTATTATTTTAATGTTAATCTAATTTACTAACTTGTTCTGTGCCTTAATAGGCATTGTTACCTCCTAAATTTGTGATAACTAGAATATTGATCTTTTAACACAGATTGGTAACATCAGCTCTGATAAGAAATATATTACACATGAAGGTGACAAGATTCCAACATAAGACTATTAAGTCATGAAATAAAGTTTAACAGATTCTGGTAGGCACGACTTTCATGGCAAATCATGCTTTGGATAATAAATAACTGTAGCATGAACGCCTTAATGCACAAGCATTGATGACTTCCTATAACACACATTTAACATGTCATAGGTTTGCTGGTCTTGAGAATTCAAATTTCTTTATTCTGGTTATGGTATTAATAATTCATTCTTTAACAATAATACCTATACACACACACATCATTCACCTGGCACCAGCAGATATTTATATATGTATGTGCATGCAACATATGAGTTTTCTTTCAGTCCAAAAAAGACGTGGAGTGTTTACAAGAGCAGGTGAAGAAGTTTCGAGGAAGTACTGAGGTAAACAATTTCCTCCTGTAACCCCATTGAGTTCTGGTGTTGTGGGGTGGGGAGTTATTGCTTGCATGGGCTGAGGATGGCTGTCGGGGCGAATGGCGGCACTGGCACCTGCACCGGAGTTTCTACACTGCCAAAAGCATGGGTTCTGCTTGGGAAGTTTGCTTCTGTTGTGGGTCAGGCTGTTGTGGGAAAGAGGGCTTGTTGATATGGCAACTACAACTTTTCTCTCTAATTTGATGCAAGACATTTTAAAAACTGTTAATTAGTTTACGATCTTAAGGTACGATCATTTATTAATTATTAACTGGATTGTCCATAATCCCCGGACATTTTTTCTTTATCTTTTCCATTCATCAAACACTTTTCATGCCCACGTCACTCACTGCTAATACTTATCTTACGATGGGACATTTAGCTGGTTTAGTTGTTATACCATGTATGGTTATTGGGGGTTGGCTAATTTTAATGTGAATTTATTTTATCTTGATTTGTAATATTCTATTTTTACATTTTTCTGTTTTTATATAATCTTGGTGTATTTATGATTCTATGGTTTGTTTATATCAAAAAGAAACATAATTTTGTTGTATTCTCTTATTGTAATAGTTAGAATGTGGATGTATGTCCCTCATGCATGTTGCCATCTGGTTTATGTAGCATTTTTATGTACATTTACAAATTCAAAGTATTTTATCAGGTTTAAAGCACTTTCATCTCCTGTTTCGTTGAATTATTTTGCTCTTTTGTATTTAAGATTCTTATTCCATATGACATCATCAATCCTAAGTATCCATGATCACATAACAATATGTTCAGTATAGTTGGTCCCAAATGTTTATGTACCTTAAACCATGTTATTACTTTTGGCACAGTGGTGAACATGGAGTTGTAAATAACTATCAGTGCTGATATTACAGTGCAGCGTTAGAAATTGGCACTAGTCCTGTAGTCCTTACCAAACTGCCCAATAGTAAAGGTATCCTAAGGACTAGTAGAAATTTGTCCATTTTAAGGGTTTTGCTATGTGTTATCATTATAAGGACTAGTGGACAAAAACTGTTAGTTTCTAACCCTGCAGTGCTGTCCCCTTGATGTGATTTGTTCTTCTCCCGTGGTGTCATATGGAGGATGTTAGTTGAAAATTGTTTTATGCCCTTCACTATCACCCCATAACCGTAGTGTATTATGTTGTGAGTTTGATGTTGTCTGGTCCGTCCATTCTAGGATCTCTCTGATTTGTCTTTCGCATACGGCATCGTAGAGAAAAGTCTGCCTCGTATTATTGAAGAGGTATGCATCCAAAACCCAGTTCTCATCCTTGCAATGCATGCTATTGTGTACCAACAGGTCACTGACAGACAGTCAAAAGGCACTTGGTTACAAGTGTCAGCTTGAAACAGCTGATTTTAGGCTTTTCATAATTAGCAGCTATGTTTGTGTGCCTTTATAGTATTGTGAGCATTATACAATAAGAACAATATGCCATGATATTTCTTACATTTCAGTTGATGAGTTTTGTACTTCTCTATATTACTTACATTTAATATTCTAAATATTGTCTTTCATAAGGATACAAAAGATATTTTGTAACCATATAAAAAATGTCTCATAAAATTAAAATTATGAATTTTCTTTAGCAAGCCATTCCTCAGTGATGTAGTGATTATTTTTTGAAGATATCCCATTAAGTTTGTACCTACGTTGTAAGCTGTTGAGTATTTCCTTATCATGACTGTCTGCCCTTGTGACTGTCTATCAATGTCTGAACCCAGTATAACTGCATGGACCCTGTGTGTTTAACATGTTGTGAATGGGGTTCATGGTTTTTGGGATCGTTTTGTTGTGACATTACACTCATTTGGAACATAATTCTATTAATGTGGTGATTCCATATTCACATTTCACTAATAACAGATTATGGTATGGGCTAGTCCAGGTAAACTAACAGGTATATGATTGAGCATATCAGTTGCCCCATGTACTGGATCGGAATCAAGAATATATTGATGCAATATTGTTATTTCATTACTAAGCATTGCTAAAGGAAGAGAGATCGGATCTGGTGAACAGTCCCTTACAGGTGTACGGTGCATGGATTTCGTATTGAAGAAGATCTCTCCGAACTGTAGATCCTTTTAGTGCCTTTCTTCTTGTTATATGGGTTTTGGCATCCTTACACGTTTAGAGCAGTATTATTATTATACCAATCAAACCCTATTATTTCAAGCTAATGAAGATAACAGCATATCCTGTGAGATTTATATTCTCAACTATGTATACTATACCATGATTATTGATACCATCATTGAATTCACTTTCAAGGAATATCAGCCATGTTTTCTGCTGACCTGACTAAAAGTCAAGTGAGCATATGTCATGGCCTGTTTGTCTGTCGCCAGTTCTGCTTCTTCTGTCTGAAACCACTGAAGCTGAAATTTCACATACTTGTTCCGACCAATGATGACACCCCAATTTGTTCCACAGGTTTGAATACAATTTTCAATATAGTTGTCATGACAACTGTATTGAAAAAAATATATTTGTAGCCATTACTTGGTCATATATTTTTAACATAAAATGTGATGAAATTTGTAGTTTGTAGTGGGACTCAAAATATATCTGTTTTTGTGATATTTTACAGTTTAGTCTTGATTTGACCTTTGCACTTTGACCATGCCAAAAGCTGAAATTTCATATGGTCATTTCAAAATATGATGAAATTTTGTGTATGTGTGCTTTGGAGTGTGGATTATTATTCCCACCAATGATGAAAGCTGAATGTGTTCAAGTGGCTCGAAATCCAATTTTCAATATGGCCAGCTTGTTATAATTATATTGAAAAGCTATTTATGGCCATTAATCAGCCATTTGTGTACAAAATATAATTAAATTTGGTATGTGGTTAGTTTATTGTTTTTGATGGGGCGGTCGGGTAGCCTAGTGGTTAAAGCGTTCGCTCGTCATGCCGAACACCCGGGTTCGATTCCTGACATGGGTACAATGTGTGAAGCCAATTTCTGGTGTCCTCCGCCGTGATATTGCTGGAATAATGCTAAAAGCGGCGTAAACCCATACTCACTCACTCACTAGTTTATTGTTGCATTCATCACGTTTGAATATCAATACTGACAGCAAGTTTTGTTAAGTGGCTGTTGTTGACATTTTAGGCTGTTGACTACATATTCAGGTGAGCTATGGTGCCATGACACAATTTTTATAGGATATTGCAGTGACAAAATTGTGTGATATATCTTGCTTTTTCCAATATATGAATCAAGATTATTGTTATTTAACATTTTGTTGCAGCTTTACAAAAATATGACTTCCTACAATAAAACTGCTTTTTTTGGCATAAGTCCTTGTGTGCTTCACGTGTGGTTTCCATCCTTCCATTGACCTACTAGTTGCCTGTTTACAAGTTGAGAATTTCCAAAAATTGAATATACTTCATAATTCATTAATTATCTCGTTTGAAGTTTGATATGAATACAGTGCCCATTGGCTGACTTGATTTATTTGTGTGATAAAGGAATTATCAATCAGTTATCACACAAACTGTGTAGTAATGGAACACTTTGTCAATACGCATTTCAAAATAATTTTGACCATAGGTAAATGATAATAGTATAAGTATTAATTGTTTTCAAAGAAAAGGTTTGATGGCTGTGGAATTATGTGTTGAAGTATAAGCATGATTGCCCCGAATGTTCCTGGGTTCCTTTATTCCCTGCTTGTCTCCCTTGGTAATGAGTTATCTCACCTGGCTGCAGATGGAGGTGAAGGTCGAGTCTCTGGAGAGCCAGTTGAAGGCCTCTGAAGAGAGGTGTTTGATGCTGCAGAAAGAGACTGAGGAGGTAACGCACGTTACACCACACACACACTACCTGCATGATGGTCTGACCCTGGTCCTCGACTCCACTGTTATAATCAGTATATACTCGTATCTCGGTCACACATTGTAAACAGGGTGAACATTTGTGTAATGTTTCTTTTAGAAATCTTCCAGTGAAGCAGTGTTATTTTTAAGACCACTAGGGATTCTGACTTTGTAAAGGATTACAAGAACATTGGTTCAAAAAGACTATTCTCAATGTACACAACAAAGTGTGATGTGATAAGATTATGCTGAGTTGATTATGTCAGACCAGTATATATTTTTATCGCATTATGATTTGGGTTTAATATATAGTGGTTATAACAGTGGTGGCACATAGTCTGCAAATGATTCAGAAACAATGACACAACAACATATAGTTGCTAAAAACATTTTTGCCAAGTCAGCTGTATTTTGAATATAAACACAAAAGCTTGTATCAGTTTGAGAAACTGTACTGAATTAATCTGAATCAATTGCTTTGGGTGATCTGCAAAGGATGCTTTATTGGTTTACTTTTGGGGGCACATGTGTTTGGTATATTTTAAAAAAATATGTTTTCTATCTTATTTTGATATTGAAAACTTTCTTGCAGGCACAAACCAAAGTTGTTACAGTCCAAAGTCAGCTAGAAATTACAAAGCATTCTTCTGATGATTTAGAAGCCCTTAGGCGGGTGAGTGAATGGTGGAGTCTTTTATGTTTGTTTAAATAGTCCTGACATGGAGATCTGACGGTTCCACAGTAGCCACACTTGTCTAACAAGGCAACTAATTTGGGGGCTGGAGGAATATGATGTCAGTGCTCGAAGTCATGGCAACCTGGGAAAAGGAGAGGTCAGTGACACCAGTCTAGTTGTCCTCACAAGAAGTATATATACCTATAGTCCCTGTACTTGTTTTAATGGCTAATGATGACCCAGTGGTTACCGGGTGTGACTTGACCAGTTGTGTGATATCATGCCATGAAGGTGTGGATTGCTGCTAATGCTCCCACCACTGGATTGTCTAGTCCTGACTTGGTGATCTTTAGGCCTCTGTTATACAGCTGGAATATTGCTCTCACAGCTCAATGTCACTCACTCACTCACTCAAACCCCAACTGCATGAATCAAGCTTCACTCATATTAAGCTTCTTGTATCTATGCTCAGAATCAAATTTAGTCATATGGATGTCTAATGAATACTCATTCTTGCCTGAGAAACAGAATATTTTAAAATTTTACTTTTAAGTAGGCTTCCACAAGGAATCTTGCTTGGGTGAGATCATATAAATTTATAACGAGAATTGTCAATATCTCCTAGGAGATATCGCTACAATGAAATTGCATCACAGTGCTTTACACGTTAACCTTGAACTCATCACAGCTGTTTTTGACATGGCATGCCTTTACTTGCAGCGGATCGCGGAGCTTGAAAATTTTGTGGAGGCAGAGAAGAAGAAAACAAAAGAACTGTCCATGAATGTTGTGAAGCTCAATGGCATCATCAAGACCGGTCAGGATGCTCTCAGGCAGGAACAGGGAACCGTAGAGAAACTCACAGACCAGCTCAATGCAGCACAGGTAAGTACTGCTGCATGCATAGGCGGTTGGGTAGCCTAGTGGTTAAAGTGTTCGCTTGTCACGTCTAAGACCCAGGTTCAATGCCCGACATGGGTATAATGTGTATAAAAAGGCGTAAAACCACACTCTCACTCACTCACTCAATCACTCGCTCACTTACTCACTCACTCACTCACTCACTCACTCACTCACTCACTCACTCACTCACTCACTCACTCACTCACTCACTCACTCACTCACTGCCTCACTCACTGCCTCACTCACTGCTGCATACAATAGCCTTACACAAGGACATTTGGTACAACTAGTTGTCTTGTTCTGACAGAAGTATATAAGTGACTGAACATTTCAGAACCCTTCAAGATGTAATGCTTAGTGATAACATGACATGACTTTTTACAAACATGACATTATTCTACTTCTTTAATTATTCTGGAGTCATTTGGACAATTTCAACTTCAAAAGCAAAATTATTATATGAGTAAGTACAGGTCAATACCTATTGCCTCGTCCTAGATGGACATGGCAGCAAAATATGGTTGCAATGTGTCCTGTACGATTTATTCCCATGTTATGTCTGCCACAAGACGAGTCAAGATATACTTGCTTCCAGTGCCAGCAAGTTTGAATTCCATCCTTTGAATGCTTTGCCATGTATCTCCATTCCACACACAGCACTAAATACAGCATCTAGACCTGCCCTAGCTACACGGACCAGCACAAGGACCTGGACCTTTGAATAGGAAATCCTAAATTTGTACTTTGTTCTTCTTAGTACCTCAATCAGTTTGAAATAGTTCAGCTTGTCCATCTTGTCCAGCTAGTTGATGAATTTTGTTCTGTTTCAGTCAGGAGGCGGAGGATCTGGGAAGGGTGTGAAGGAGGTATTGTGACCAGCAGAACTGTACAGTATGGATGTGTGCGGGGCCAACACACAGGGTAAACACAGGCAGTAGGCTGGCTCACTGGAGCATGTCACAGTAGACACACACATTGTCACACAACTGATCTGCTTCTGTTCCTGCAGCATCATGCCCAGGTCCCAGGCCAATACTCATATTTCAGATTGTTGTAAAGAGAAATGTTTTTCTGCAATCAATAATAAGACACGGTTGTTTTATGAAGAACCATCATGTTCCCAATCTGAGACATTAGCCACGAGTCCGAAGGCCACATCTAGTAAAATTCTGTTTGGTCTCTTAAGGTCATCAAATAACATATAATAATACTAAAATCCACCGAAAAAAGTTGGCACAGACTGTTAGTTGATGGCAACAATTTGATCATAACATGCAATATTTGTTCTAGTAAATCTATTACCATACCACAAAGACTGTTCACATGAGAAAATACCACAGCCACAGTGAACCTCACACTCCGTCGCAGTGGTGACTCAGCATAACACCACTGCCACAGGCTAATTTACATATCACGTGACCGGACTTTTCTCTTGTTTGTAAACAAACGCGCTTTTTCAGAAATCAGTATAGAACGGACTAATGCAAGTATTTGAGGTCGCTTTACATATTGTTTTGCATAATTATATAAATATGCTACTACAGCTGCGACAGTGAGTTGCATGATAAAATATATGTATACCTCAAAGTGACCGTATCGCTAGCTCTCTGTTGGGCTTCGATGACAGCACGTGGAGCCGTACAACCAATGTAAACAAAGGATAACTACGCAGAAACAAGTAGATGTTCACGTTTTAGGATACTTTCTTAATGAACCGTAACCGTTCTTTGACATTTGTTTATGAAAATGTGTAAACTTGTCAAACATGAAACGGATGAAAAGCATATGCAATATCTTGAATGGACTTTGAAAGATGTGACGAATCGTCACATGGCGCTGGCCTGTGGCAGAGGTACTATGCTAGCTGGCTGCCGGCCGCATGGAACTCTGGGTAGGAGAGTGAGTGAACCTACTTTAACAAAATTTAATCGCTGCTCCCTCCTCTGGCATATCGGCCGCATCCATTGAGCAGGTCTGGGCATGCTGCTGCAGGGCTGAGTTAATGACGGAGTTTTCAGCATGGAGTGTTGTAATGATGACAGACCCTCACACCGTCGTTGTTGTTACCCTTCTCCATCTCAGTAAACAATGCAAGTGACGTGTTAGCTCAACCGCCTGTCTTCTTGTGTGTTGTGTTTCTGCCATATTCAGCTGTTCATACTTTTCTCATTACATGTTTTGCGTGTGTTTCTAGCTAGACTATTTCTTTAGTAATATCAGTTATTTCTTTCATGTAGTCAACTTTGAACTTTAATAGTAATATATGTATACTTTTCATGCACCTAATTTTCTCTGCATGTAGATATGTCATTGTATATCATATGTTTCTGTGTTTGCAGTGACTGACATAAGCCATGTACTCAGTTCTTATTCTCTGTATATATCTTTTTGTAGTTAGCCTGTTTCATTATGCTCCTATAGAGGCAAGATTCACTGTTTCACATCATAGTGTCACTGCACTGATCAGAACAGTATTTGATCATCAAAAAGCGACTAGAGCAAATCCAATATGAGAGAAACAACTTAGTTATAACTAGTGTCTTTACAAGACTTCTACAGTCATACATTGGCAGAATTAGGTTTCTTATTTGTTTCAAGGTAGACCATATTAATTTAGTTGGAAACGGGATTCTTCGAAACAGGTTAAAATACCCAAATGTCAAGAAACTTGTTGGTAAAAACATTTGAATACCCTCTAAAAATTGTGGATATCCAATCAAAATCAAACCCCTGGGTAAAATACCGAAATAACCAAAGGCTTATCTGGAGCTCTGGGCTACAAGATGCTGTTGACATCTCGATATGACCACGTTAGGGCCACTCAGGACCATATATTGGTATGGGCGTCTAGAAATTACTTGTACATATAGTACTAGGGGCGGTCGGGTAGCCTAGTGGTTAAAGTGTTCGCTCATCATGCCGAAGACCCGGGTTCGATTCCCAACATGGGTACAATGTGTGAAGCCCATTTCTGGTGTCCATCGCCATGATATTGCTGGAATATTGCTATTGCGGCGTAAAACCATACTCACTACGTCACATGTAGTACTATCAAGACATGGATATCTAACATGTACTGTATTGAATCTTGGTATATCAGTGTTGGGGCACCTGCCTTCTAGGATCTAGATATTGACAGAATTATCATTTCAATAGGTATTTGTACCTGACACTAATAACATAGAATTTGGATATAATTTGGCCGGAATACCTGCTATCTAGAATCTAGGTATTATGATCTGTGTAAGGGCTCTTGACAGTTGTTATACAGAATCTAGATATAACTACCGGTAGGTCTGGGCACCTGCCATCTAGCAGGTAGATAGGTGTACTCAAGACATGGTTCAAGACTTGCTTTCATACTTATAGTTGAGGGCCAAACTGGCTGATAAGGAAAAACACCTTGAACGTGAAATATTGACAAACAAGCAACTTAGTCAACAACTGGTAAGTTGTCTTTGTGTCCAGCACAAAAATAAAGTCTTCAAAGACAGTTCAAGGAAACAGTGACAGATTCAAGCAATAATGTAATTCTTCATTTTCAAATATGTAAAGGTAAAGAAATTAAAAATAGATACTTAAAGTAAATTTATCTGCAGTAAGTGAATCGATATGTGCATCCCTGCTATTTCAGCGCACACTTGACATATGACATGGGGATGGACCCCATGCTATGTAAGCATTGTGCCACCCACCCACTGTCTACTGCGCACACACACCCACACAAGGTCATCACAGTGCAAATAGATGGAGTATTCAGGTGTCATCCAAGTTTCCCTTTGCTATTAATGCGGCAAATGTTTAAAGTTGTTTAAATATACTCAGCGTCATTATTGAGGGGTCATGCAGATAAAAAGAGATAAAATGTCACATTTTCAACTTCCAAAAGGTGCATCTGGAATCAACTATTTTATACCCACATTGACAGTTACTTGTCATGTATTGCAGGTGTATGGACTAAACTGCTGCTTGCATTCATGCATTTGTTTTGGTTAGCTCTTTTCATCACCTTCAATCTTTAGGTTTTCATTGTTTTTAATGTTCATCCACTTTTCCAGTTTCATAAAACATCAAATCAGTGTGACATTTAGGTATTAACAAGATGTTCTTCAATTGTTAATCACACGACGTCATACTCTGGCCTATTGACGCTTGTTGGCATATGGTCATGTTTGACACCCTACATGCCTAGGTCGATGCTTGTTGTAAGAGGCGACCAACACGATCGGGTGGTAGGGTCGCTGAGTTGGTTGATGCATGTCATCATATCCTATTTTCCGTAAATCGATGCTCATGATGGCAATCACGGGATTGTCTGGTCCAGACTCAATTATGTACAGACCGCCGTTATATAGCTGGAATATTGCTGAGTGTGGCATTACACAACAAACAAGCTACATACCTAGGTGATCCTTATACAATGACGTTGAGTATATAAATTATAATCCTATCATCCAGGGTCCATCCAGGATCCATAACCAATCTAATGCTGTCTAAACCTTCCTGATGATGAATCTATTTATGAAATATTCAAAGGAACTATTTGCAGTGTTCTGACCTTTCCCAGACAAGATAAAATACCCTAGCTGCACATGGTTTATCCAATATCCCATACATACTTGCTGTGTGTCCTTACACTGACATGACCATCATATTACATCGCTAGTGTTCTGCCAGGAGGGAATGAGGCAGATGAGTACCCCCCCAGTACCCCCCAGTACCCCTCGCTTGTAACAGACGACTGAAGTCCATTTGTAGGTTCCCGGTACAATGTGTGATCTGTCTGTGTGTCACTGTACCCTGACAGTGGGTCAAAAGTGCAAAGCACAACTAAAGACACATTTGTTCAAAAAAGCTTTCCAGAGTGACATTTGAATGTAGGGCTTTGAGCATGAACTCTACATGGAGGCTAGAACATTATAAGTGCACATTATAATTATTATTATCATTGCTCTGGCAATCAGACACTAGTTTGCTTAAACATGATTATTGGCAGTGTGCCATGGTAATGCTGACTCTGGTATAAAACATGACATGTGGCCCTGTGGACTGGTCAGGCCTTGCATTCTTCTCCATACAGTGTACAATGATCCATTCATAGCCTGGCAGGTGGATATACCTCCAGTATGTGCAAGGTTCTGAAACACTTTCCTGATGCCACACCTGCATACATTGAATTGTGGTCGTAGATGGTATTGGACTTTTGAGGATTGCTAAAAGGGTTTTATACCCCCAGACACATATTTGATTAGTGGTTTATTTTACAGCACTTATTGATGTAAAATTAAACAGTGAGACTAGGTTTTTAATCATTAACTTTCTCTGCCTGAAGCTCTTTTCTGTATTTCCTATTTTTGAGAAATCTATTCTTTTTTTTTCTATTTTGTGACTGTGGTATTTATATTGATATATATTTTTTATATTTCCATTCATATTATTTATAACTACAAAACATGTATAGAAAGTTTTTAGCCATTTTCTTTTAATAATCTTAGGTGATTTTTAAAAAATGTGTCACCAGACTGGAACGTGATTTCACAGTATTGAACATGGCTTCATTATGATTCAGTGATCATTATGAATTGAATTTCTTCTTATGTTAAGGAGTCTTCTAACATTGCCCTTGCTGTGCTTTGTTTTAGCCACTGCGTAGAACTCAGTCCCTGACAGGTAGACTTGGTTAAGTCACCTCTCACAATCATGCACTAAGTTGTCTGACTTTGGTTGAGACATACTGTCTGCTTAGCTATGCTTCCATCCATCCAAATTACACTACTGTACCATATTTCCTTCTGTGCTTAATGTAAAATCTGGCTTAATTAGACGGATATAATGGTCAAGTTACATGATGTTTTATTACTTCCAGCCAAATGTCAACTTGGTACATGATGTGGTTTGAGATTTAACATTATTTTCTTTATTTTTTATCAATCTGAAATTATTTTTTAAGACTTTTTCAAATAATTTTCACATTTTTTTGCCAGTGGTACATTTGTTTTGACATGAACCATTGTGTTCTTGTTTTTAAGTCATTCTAAAATATTAATTTTGTTATCAGTATTTGTTTTCTTATTGATACAATCAGTCATTGCAATGTTTGTCCTGAGCTTGAAAATCTTCCAAAGTTTCACCCTGATACAGCCCCTACTACCACCTCCAGCTGTTGCACCTCCCACATGCATAATCCAGCACAATCCGCAACAATCCACGACAATCCAGCATACATGACACAGCAATCCAAACAGAATATATTTGGAATCCCCATTGTGTTGCACATGAGCATCTCGTGGTTCTTCTGATCTCAGGATTGCCATGGCCAGAGGTTTATCTACAGTGCCAGCTAATGTTCCTATTTCTTTGCTTCACAGGCACAATTAGGTGTTCTGGTGAGTTGGACTCGGTGATGGCAGTATTGCTGGTATACCCTGTACTCAGGGGAAATAGGACGGTTATTGCATAGGGTCTTGAACAATTCATGTATTTTGGGGGTACTTTGTTATATCGTGTTGAATAAAAAATATCTTGTCATACCTGTTATGGTATTTATTGCATGTTGATAAAATGTTGATTATAGTGATAATAATTGTGATAATATAAAATTTATTGAATTTACATTTAATGTAGGGATTTCATCAAGTAATGTATAAATCATGTTTATTGCAATACCATCCATCACCGTGATTAGTACTTCATCACATCCTCATGTTGCACATATGAGCTGCTGCCATCATCCCAGAGTAGTCTCCCCTTGGTTGCCATGGATAACATGTCAACAGACTGACCAATCATACCATTATTCCCCACACAATGCACACACGTTTATCTCAACACATGTCCTTGAAATTCCCTTGAGTGGCAAAAACTATGCTGTGTATTCAAATTTGTTGTGTATATTTTATTTATTCCCCCCTTCACCTTGAGAAAATCAAAGGCCGGTAGGCCTCTTAAATTGTTCAGATGTTTTGGGTTGTTTTGTTTTTTGAGTTTATTGTCTACAAGAAGTGCTGTGTTTGGTTATTGAGATACTGATAATTGAAGCCAGTAGTTAATCTGCGGCATGTGGGTTGCATTAAGGTGGATTAAAACAGATAATAAGTAAAGATGAACAGAAAATACCTATAATATACACGCATCTACAACACTGCCAATCTGGTGACAATAAGGCCATAGGTTCAACATGACAAAAGATGATCTTGACATGAATGCAGGAGTTGTATAAAGGACTGAGGCTGCTTCTTCCCCCGGTAGTTGTTGGCAGATCAGCATGCATGTCTTCTTGAATGTAGGTCTCCTGTAGTTAGTGTTTCTCATCTCACGCCCTTCCACACATAGGAGGCAGTGGAAAACACTTCTGAAACCATCCTTACTATCCCCTTACAACCGCTGAACCAAACTTTGCAAAACATATATTATTGACTAACAGCAACAGAGAAATTGAGAAAGGCCGCTGGACATTTTTCTCGAAAGCCCACACCCCAGTGCCATAATCTTCTTATGTTTGAATAATTTTGAAATAAATTGTTGATGTACAATGTCATTCATTAAGTTGAAAAAGTTTCATACATTCTGCAAATCAAAATATAACCCATACATTATAAACAAGTATTTTGGATAATGTTTTGAAGAGGAGAGATGAGAAACACAGAATGGAATACAGGAAGCCTTGCGTGCTTCATAGTTTCCGCCATGGATGGCATCATGATCATTATCTTGCATCTCCTCATTGATCCATCACACATCATGGTTTCAGTAGTAGTCTGTATTAAGATATATCATTTCTTCTGCTAGGCTTACCACCCAAAGGTAAATTTCTTCCAAATTTGTGTGGAATTGGACTAATCTTACTTCAAATTTAATCTTGGTAGAGGTCAAACTGAAGAAACAATAAGAAAAACGTCATAGTAATTACATCAAGGGTGACACATGATATTATCATGCCCTTTTGAATCATAAGGTGCCAAAATGTCTTCATTAGAATTTTGCTACATGAAATTACGATGAAATATGCATGATACTGATGTTGTGAGTGTTGGTAGTATTTCCTCTGTGGAGACATCGGAATTACGTGTTGTCCAATAACTCTGAATGTGTCTGACTTTTTCTCTTCAAGGTGATTGGTCATTCCACCAGTCAAGCATGTTGCCACCCTCTGAAGCATTGTGGAATATATATATTCTAATACATGGCACAACATGTCATGTTCTTGTAGTTACATTAATTCTGTCACAATACATTTTATTACAAAAATATTATTTGTGAATCAACCCTTTGCAATGTTAACATCACGATTGTACTTTCAAATTCTCATCCACCTTGCTTTGTTGTGGGTAAATATGTTTAACTGACTTTTTCTTGTTACGATTATTCAGACCTAGGTATTAAGGTCTATGTGTCTGGGATGTCAAGTCAATAAAGTTTCTTTTGCTTTCTTAGACATACTTGATGAGATTAATAGGATTCACAGGGAATACACTGCCTCACACTTGTAGTTATTAATATCATAACTATCTTTGCCCGACTAACTGACACTTACAATACAGCTTTGGTGACTTTACTGGTGATGATTCTTATAGTATTTGGTTTCCATAAACGAGATAGAGACATGTACAGCTTTGTATATATATTTATATCTTTTCTTATAAATTACACTTCACAAATAGAAAAAAGACATTAAAATTGTTATGTCTCTGTTTTTCTCCTTGAATCATATTCTTTGACTCTCTACTACTTAACTTCTGAAACCAAGGCAACATGACTGCCGTGTTAGGATAAAGCTAAATTTTACTGTGGGATTGATATTTCAACTGACATGGTATCCAGTTGATTTGGTGTTCTTTTATACATCTTGGGCTTTTACTTAGATTTTCAGAAGGCAATATTAACTCTAAAACATTGGAATTGAAATGTAAGGAATGGATATGGCTTTTTATATAGTCAAATGGAATGTCTTTTCTTGATTCCTATCATAACATATTATCGGGTAACATAATCCAGCTTGCCATATGATCTTCACCTAAGCATCTTTCACTAGGATTACTCATGCACATCAATAGATTCCAAATAAATGAGAACCTTTTTTGACAATTTCATCATAATTATGTTTATATATCTCCATAACACTCCTAGCGACCTGATAACCTGATATGGTTATGAGTGTTTCATGTTAACACTATGGGAGAACTGTTCTGTTAACCAACACTTGTAAATAACGGGCAGATGCCAACTTTCACTGTAACATCTCTGTATTTAACCATGATCAGAAAAATCTTTGTAATGAAGGGATGATGATCCAGGACTGTTCCATGTGTTGGGCCTTGTAATGAGTGTATTCTTCTGTGTACTTTCAGGCTGCTTCTCCGGGGAATGATGCGGGCACCTCAGTTTAACACCTGCTTTCTACTGGTTTCATTCTGCCATGACGTACATCATCATCTGGCGATGCCCTAGCCAGACTTTGTCACATGACTAACTGCGCCATCTACCAGATGGATGATCTTAGTGTCACCCATGGATGACGTCTTCTCTTCAGCTCAGTCATATCATTATCATTTTAAATATACATGTACAATAGTTATAAGTGTTTGTATGACAGCAGTGATTTTTACCATTGCTTGCTTTTCTCACTGGTGAATGTTCATTGTCTTCCTTGTCAAAGGTCACTACAATGTAGGTCATGGTCAGTTTAAAAACGTTTGATCAAACATATCACATATCTTAGAAATTAGTGACATTTTCTTGGTTTGGTTTAATAAATAATATATGATTTCTGTTACTTAAAGCAACATATGTTAAATGAAATGATGTTTCAAAATAAAAGAACTAATTTGACCTTGACCTTGACCTTTAGACATTGGCTGCCATGTCGTTATTGCAAGCCATGTTTCTTTCTGTCAGGTAGCCTTGCATCGTTGCTGTAGTTGGGGATGGGAACTTTCTTTAATTAAAAAGTGACATGGTATTTTATGAGTGCAGGTCATAGCCTGGTAGAGACGACAATGCTGTCAGGAAAATTATGTTTCAAATCAGTATATTTTCATATGTGTAGCAAAACTGAAACAGACTTACACTCCTACTTTGTCTCACTTCACAGTCATAATATTGTTAAGATGAGCGACCTGTTGAATTCAACATGAATGTATTCACAAGCATTTAGTAAGGCATTTAATGAAATAATGAAACTTGCCAGAATGCTGAAACTTACCTGGTTTGTATTATTGGCAGATTATGGTGGAAATTATATGAGCATTGTGTTATGATTAGTAATGAATGTTTTGTTGTTGACATCAGTGTCAATGTTTATGCTTTGTCCTTAAAAGGGATCCTGTGAGGTAATGCACCAAGGCAAACTCTTAGACGATGGAATTTAATATTACAGAAATACATGGAATTGATTATTGAAGAATTTTCTAGTGCGCTTGTACAATGTATTAATTTGACCAATTTGCACTGACATGGTGTTGTAAATGTCTTGGCTGTACAGCCTGTGTTTGTCAAGCCTTTGGATACTGCATAATTGCTGGTTGTACTTGTCACATTGCACAAGCCAGGGAGCGCCCGTTAGGCTGTCTTGCTGTTGTCAGCCAATGCTGTTTGTCATTGTTGAGATCTTATTTTCAATATTTAATTTGTTCATGTTTAAACATCTTTTTCCTTGTTTACTCTCCAGTTGTCATGTTGTTACTTTGTGAGGATATGTTGAATATGCAATATAGATGGGTCCACTCATTGTTAAAGATTGTTTTTCTGTGAATATGTTTGCTTATTTACTTGCCCTCCTTGGAAAATTTGAAAGTGTATTTTTTCATGGGGCAATAGCAGGTGATTGTAAATTAACATTTGATACTTAAATGTCGAAATTGTTAATCTTAGAAATCTGAAAATAAGTCTGACCTTATTTTTGCAGCCTTGACCAAATTTTGTTTTGTGGATTAGCAGTTTATCCCCATTTGGATTTCCTTACTAGAATAATATTATTCCGAGAGATGGTACACCCTGTTGCTGTTGCCTATGTGTCCAGTGTACAGAATCAACTTTGTACAGTAAATGCACTTTGATTATTTACAGTGATATATTATTATGATATTTCTGCATTGTAGGAGCTGTGTGAGCAAGGTGGTAGGGGAAGGGTATATAGTATGAACAGGAGAGGACAATGCTTATTGATAGCAACAGGTGAAGGGAGGGCTTAGTATTTTGTTCATGACCAGCAACACCTTATTCTATATATTTAAGACTATACCATATCAAATGTCATAAAAAATTGTCGTTGAAATTACACTATGGCATATTAATTGCTTTTACTTATAAGTATTCAAATTTATATACTTGATTAGCAAGAACTGTAAAGTAGGTACATGTAATACCAGTAGCAGTGACACACAGAGCACGTACCAGAGCTCATTAACAGACCGTATACTTCACAGTGCCTTTCAGCTGATTATTTACTCTTGCATGTATCCACCTAGCGCAGCTTCTTACGTCCAGGGCCCTGTTGTTCCACAAAGCCATCGTAGTGCTGTGACTGTCCTAAGTCTATGTTAGTATAGGAGTTACGATCACCTTAGCGCTACGATCGCTTTGTGGAATGGACCATACCATGTACTATGTGCCAATTGTAGCTGAGGCGGGTACTCGCCCTGTACATTCAACCATAAGGTAACACTATTTAAATTCTGTTGTGCTAGATTTGGCCTGTCTTTCCTTGGTAGCCATTGTAGTGTTGATCTGCAGAGCCGGTTATCCTTTCTGCCAGAGATGGCAAACAGAATTGTTACTAGTCACATATTGTATTGTTTCTGATTATCATTTGTAATATAGAATATCATTTATTGTAAGAAACCAATGCAGTTAACTGCTTGCCATGTATCAATAGGATAGATGACATTAATCACTGAATAATTTACCAATGAGATTTTATGTTGATTTATTGTAATTAAGCATGTTAAGCATGTATTGGTCCATAGGTAGACTGTTCAGTAAATATCGGACCAGGTAACATGTTTCTGGTAATAGGCCACCGCCCCAGCATCACCATCCACACCGGGGGATGTTGCCATGTTACTGCTGTGTCACAAGCAATGACGAGGGAGCCAGATGTGGTTCAGGGTGCCATCCTTGTTTTGTTGTACACGAATGGCTGGCAAGTCTGCCTCCTGGTTGTGGTGACTGGGACAGGCCACATGCTTCATTCACACTCGGTGGGGGGCCTGCAGACTGGGCTGTATGGAGGCCCCTTTGTCCAGTTTGTATGGAATCTCTAGTGATTGTTCACTGTGTGACTCATGTCCAGCATTGGTCAAGCTCAGTTAATAAAAGTTATGTCTCACAAGATTTGGTTTTGTCATAATGAAATCTGAAGAGTTTGCAGCCTGTTTGTTAACAGATTTTGCACCTTTCTTAACATATTGTATGCTGTGGCCAAAGAACGCTGTAGGACTCACCGAGTTTACCCTTGTGGAACACAGTACAGCCATATCACGCTGTCAGCCAAGTGAGGACAGACAACAATGGGTAACTAAGGAGCTTTGAGCAGGTGTTTGGATGTAAGGAGATTTTCTTGATTAGGTCACTTGGGATAGTTGGCTATCAAGCTGAAAAGTCACCTTGCTATGCAACCAGTTTAGCCATCTCATCTGTGTTAGTTTCCTCTCAGGACAAGCATGAGGTACATGGGACCCATTAAGACCTGTGAGTGAGTGAGAGTGGGTGGGCAGGCGGGCGAGTGAGTGCATGAGTGCATGTTGTTTGAATGTGAATGAATTGTGAGTTAGCAATATGCCAGCAGTCTGTTAATAATTGGTTCTGGCAGCATGAGCACTGATCATGTTCATGGGTTATCCGGGGGCACGGGTGGCCCAGTTGTCTAAGGCGCTGCGATTCGCTGTGCAGAGTTGCGTCCCTTGGGCATGCCAGAAACCTATGATTGCGGGTTCGAATCCCGGTTCGCCCCAATTATGTTTCTAGGTTTGTCAGCACCATACCCGTGCTCGTGGGTTTCACCAAAGTGGTAAACGCCTGAGACCTGCATCACTTCGGGCTTTCCTCCCACATTAAGCTGACACGCCGCGATATGACTGGAATACTGTTAAAAGCGACGTTAAACCCAACTCACTCACTCACTCATGGGTTATCCTCACACACTATCTACCAAGTCACACATTGTAACCACCTGATCTTCATTTTACTTTTCAACAAGCTTCTGGTACCCGAGACCCATATGCATTGTCCCAAAGAATTCTTGAGCACCAGTTCCACCACACTCAGAACAGCAAGTGGATTACACCAGAACTTGACATGGTTGTTTGCCTGCCCTCGCTGGGCTTGAAATATCATCAATGCCGAAACCAGATCAGATAACTCCTGCTCCATGAAGAGCTGAACAAGACGATAAAGTCGCATTCAGGTGACAGACAATATACACTTTGTCAACCATTCAATATTTTATTAAACATACATACGACTTGTAATGATAAATCCATTCATGAAACAAAATATCAGAAATCCTAAAACGTTTCAACATTACTGATAGTTATTCAATATTCATGAATACAAAGCAATGAATAGTGTCAATCTTGGACCAATAAAACTCTGCTGACTTAAAGTGATGGACAAAGACAGTTACTGTACTTGAGGCATGGGCAACTGGGTTAAAATTAGCTGGATGGGAGTGGAATGTAGTTACATAACTTCCACAGTTATGTTTGTACACTCGACTCCAATGTACGAAAGACGTATCATTATTCTTCATGTGAATAACATTCTTTGCGTGTATAACAGTCTGATTTCGAAGTTCCCTTGGAATGATATCTGTAGGTGACTCCACCATACTGTTTGCAACAGTTCATTGGTTGCCAGGTTTCCTGACTGATCACCTGTCTCATACATGAAGAACAAATCGAGGTTTTTGCTGTACCCATGGATGACAAAGCCAAAAAGTATTTCAAGGATTTGGGGTGTACAGCTCACTTAATAATTCACTGATCCATATATCCTCTGTCTTATTCACATAAAATTGGCATTCCTTCTATACAACGAATATAACACATTCCTACACCATTAACTGGTACATGGAGATCGAGGTATGATGGAAACATCTCCGGGGTCTTCAGTAGATGTATGTTAGTGTTAGGTTGAAATGTCTTCAATACATGGTTAATGAGAACACTTGTGAGGTAACTACATGTCAGTGATATAAGGGGATGATCTCATGAGATGACATGACAATACAATGTGATCGGATGGCAATGTTCTTGTAGCAACTATTCAGTCCAGCGATGAACACAGTTTGAGTTGGTACATACGTAGTATAGTCGCATACCTTCCTGGAAAAGAAAAAGTAAAACAAATTATTACACAGTCCATATAAGGCATTGGATGACCTGAAAAAAGCTTCAAGTGATCATAGTTTCATAACAACAGCTGTGCACTTCTTTCATACATAATCACATAAACAGTGAGTGAGCGAGTGAGTGACAGGCGGGCGAGCGAGTGCGTGAGTATGGTTTTACGCCCCTTTTAGCAATATTCCTGCAATATCACGGCAGGACACCAGAAATGGGCTTCACACATTGAACCCATGTTGGGAATCGAACCCGGTTCTTTGACGTGACGAGCTAACGCTTTAACCACAAGGCTACCCGACCGCCCCTATCACATAAACAAATCTTTAGACTAATCTATCCTTATGGGTAAAATGAAAAGTCACACTTCAAAATTTAATCTATATCTTCCCATTTAACTTAACACAGACTGTGCAGCACTTCGTCCAAAGACAGTCCAGTAAAATTCTGTATATCTAGTAAGCTCAGCTAACAACAGTCAATATCGGGGTACCCCGCTTGGGATGCATTTGTACCTGCAACGTGCAGTAAACAAAAAGTTCGAGGGTTTATTCTCATGTATGTGCCATCGCACATCACACACTATATACGTTACTCAAACACACATCGTAGACAACATGAACACCATGGTTCCTCTTCATTTACATCAAAACATTGCGGTTTGCCAATTTCATCACAACAAGATGGTTTTCTTACTAAGGGAGATAATTCTATAAACATATGTTTTGTGCATACCACTAAGAATATCTCGTTACATTACTTTCTCCTACTGATACAGTCAAGATCATAATGCTAAAATCTACTGAAAATGATGCTAGTTGTTTAAGGGACATACTGGTAAAGGATTAAGTGTCCATGATTTCATAGACGGGCGAGTACGTCTTCTTCAAAAGGCATGTGTCTGTACCGCCTGAACACACACTCCTGGTTAATATGTCATCATTCTATGCACACTGACCAAAACAGACATGTATGAACATCTAAACATTCACCTCAGCTTTTGTACTGTGCGACTGGAAAAACACAGACTCTTTGTGGCCACACTTTGGACATGGATGGTCTTCTGTGCGAGGGAGGGTCGGATCTGCTATGACGTCTCCAACAATTTGTGTCAATTCACTGCAACACATAAAAGACTAATGCATCAGGCTCAATTAATGCTGATATATATATTCTGAACATTGCGATATGATAAACTGTATATATTCAGTTGTGTTCCTCAATGTACCGACGTATCATGAATTTACACCCGACAATATGATACACAATATGCCTAACCATGTAACACTTTTCAAAAAGTAATAACAATATTTCAGCTACACCATGTCAGTGAGCTCCCCACAGTTCCTGAATCGACCCTGGGTCTTCGGTGCGATGTTTAACCTTCACCCTCCAATAATTAACAAGGATCTCAACATCATAGTAATAGTCACATCCAAACAAGTAATAATTTAGAAGTTATATGACAACAAATACCTCCTGAGGCAAAGAAATAAATAACATCAACAAACATTTGATATTATTTTTATTGACCTGTTGTTTGTTATTGCCTGTTTGTTCACACGAAACGATACAATGTTGTTTATCACTCCGCAAAATATTTGAATATTATTTTTTTCCAAAATATTGCATCATCTAGAGGGGGGTGCTGCTGCACATTTTGCTTCGGTGCGCACTATAGTCAAGAAAATAAATTAGGAGTAATACTCACTCGACTTCGTGCATGATCTTGTTCACGTAGATACACCGATTATCTGCTTCCTGCTGGTAGTCACAGTTCCGACACTGTAACAGCAACAATGTACCATTATGATTATGTGGTATCACACATTACATACTCACATCCTGCACTTTACATTGAACAACCTACCGGAGCCATTGCTGAACTGCTTGTTCTTGTTGAAGCTACGTATGCTAAGCACCCATTTCCAAAAACAAAGAATATTTCTTCCAAATACACGTGATGCAGATCTCAGACGTTTACCACATCGGTGAAACCCACAAGCATGGGTATGGTGCTAACAAACCTAGAAATATAATCGGGGTGGACCGGGACTCAAACCCACAATCAAAGGTTTCTGGCATGCCCAAGGGACGCTACTCTGCACAGCGAATCGCGGCACCTTAGACGACTGGACCACCCGTGCCCCCTTGTATTCATGTACACAGTGGTAAATAAATGAACAACCAACTTACTGCATACAGAAGAACTCTGTTGTCTTTGTCTTCTTTTGGATACAGCATGTTGTTGCTGAAATATATATATAACAAAACATTGAATCAGCATTAATGTAGTGGCTGAACAGAAAATATCAAGTAAATTAAATATTCAGAAGACAAACTTCATTGCATACTTCTGTAACAGTTCTACTTTGGCATCCAAAGGGTCATAAGATGGGATTATGACAATGACTTCAGACAATGTAACAGTCCCTTCCTTAAAGATCATATCATAATAGTACTTATTCATTTGTATTCCCAACTTAATGCATGTTTGGTGCAAACATTCCTGTCATTGTTGTGAAAAAAATAGCTTCAGCACTTCATCAGTGTTATTATTCTCAGGAAACAAGCCAACAAATCCATATCCAGGCGAACATACACTGTTTAAACTAGATTAGTTCCTTAACAATAGCACCACAAAATCTTGTATGTTAATGTATGTGTGAATGTACATCACTAAAGTAAAACGAAATAGGATCACATTATGAGTATAAAACTAAGCAACTTGTTTTTCATTTTGATATTTGACTGGCTCACTTGGATCAGACACAAATCAACGTTTGGACTGGTATCCTTTTATCTTATTAGTTGAGCGAGTACTGACAATATTGTATCCACAGCAGAACAAACACTAAGGGCTTGTTAAGGTTTTGTTCACAATTCAAAACCAACATTTGTCGCCAATACACACATCAACTTTCCCTAACGACTTCGTTTTCACATTTGAAACCATAAGTCACACAGAACGCTCTAAATAGATTTCTACAATGGCAAGATCTGATTTATAAAAAAGATCTTTTCCGTTTCTTGATTTCTCAAAAAATTTTCAGTGTATGTAGGTTTGTTCAAAACAAGATTTGTAACATGTCACAGAGCTCCAGATAAGCTGCGTATCTGCGTGAAATACGCATCAGAAATGCAGAAATACACAGTAAAATATAATCCAAGCGTATCAAATACACAACGAACATTACAGATACGCTACAAAAATGAAACTTGTGCGTATCATCAAAATATTGTGAAGTAACCCTGCGTATTCGATTAGCAAATCAGCAACTTATTTTGAAATTATAAAGGGGCATTCCGTCAACCTTGCCAAACTCCACGATGACAGTTATATCATGATCATTTGCCATCACACTTTCTTGTGGAAGTATCGTGGTATTCTTTAGTCCTAGCTATAAAGCTCTCAAACCCACACGACACCAGTTTGCAGGGACCAGATGAATAGTGTTTTTAAATATTTAACTTAAATACCCACATGTGTAAAAACTAGTGGGTAACAGAAGTTTACGCAGGTAGAATTACTGATACCCAATGATTTTGAAATGCATGGGTAAAAATACCCACACCAAAAGCCTATCTGGAGCTCTGTGTCAACACATCGGATTCATCAACAATGATCAATTGTCTATATTTATAAATATTACCATTCTTTACAAAATTTAATGCCAACAAAACCAGGGCCTGCATCGTGTGCTTCGAACAACGGGTCCATCGCTGATTCTGATCTGCGCAATAACGATCAGAAATGATTGCAAAGCAAAAGAAGCAAAACACACGCGAAAAGTCCCGTAAGCTTTCTGCAGAGCCGTGGAAAGAATACACTATGTTCAGCGAGTCCTGTGTTCACTGTTAGGAGAAATTGGCCGGAAAAGGAAAAAGCCTACTAGTTGTTTGCAACTCATTGTACTATGACCAAATAGAATTAATTGATAAATATGTTACTACCATTTGATGTGATAATTATGATTTGTTCAACATCTATTTGAATACATCGTTAAACTTTATTGTTATTGTTAACTAAAATGCACCAGTTAGCAAGTTCAAACAATCTATCAGGCAATTCCTTTAATATGTCGTAAGTAAACATTACTTATGATGTAACGTAAACACATGTGCTCACGTCTTGATTCAGAACACCACGGTTAGCTTTCAATTTACAAAATGAATCACGGTTATGGATATAACACATTAGATCAGTATGGACATTCAAATCCTTACTCACAACAAAATGGCATGTTCAACCAACAAGCATGGAATCACGGAATGAACAGACACCAGTTTCCTCCAGGCCAGTTCCCCGGGCCCGCGGCTGGACCTTGGCAATATCCACCAAGGGGACCACGCATCCAAGGCCCAGGCATGACACAAGGACATAACAGTAGACCGCAGTTCCAACAACGGTTTGGTAACCACCACCAAAGACACAATAATCCTTATCAGAATCCTCATAAGAATCCTCATAATGTGACAAACGCAGGCTTCCAGAATGCTAATTTCCATAACGTGCCTAATGACAAGAAGAAAAACAAAAAGGTAAACCACACTCTACGGTAGGCCAAGAGCGTTCTTATATTCCTTTCTGAAATGATCTAATTTGTTTCAGTTGTCAAATTCAATTCACGTTTTAACATGATGAATTGACTTGGAAGAGCTCAGGACACCCCCAAATCAGGAGGGGGGCACAGGTCGTCTAAGTCGCAGCGATTCGCTGTGCAGAGTTGCATCCCTTGGGTACTCAAGAAACCTATGATTGTGGGTTCGAATCCCGGTTCGCCATGATTATGTTTCTAGGTTTGTCAGCAACATACCTGTGTATTTGGGTTTCACCAAAGTGGTAAACATCTGAGACCTGCATCACTTCAGGCTTTCCTTCAACATTAAGCTGAAATGCTGTAATATAACCGGAATACTGTTAAAAGCGGAGTGAAACCAAACTCCCTCACTCACTAACCCATATCAGGAAACCACAGGAATCTGTAGCTGTACACAAATGAACATTTGTTTTATGATCTGTGTGTCCTATAAGGCCAAAGGTTTCCTTTACCGACAGTGATACAATTAAATTTGAACCCGGGTTCGATTCCCGACATGGGTACAATGTGTGAAGTCCATTACTGGTGTCCCCCATCGTGATATTGCTGGAATATTGCTAAAAGCGGCATAAAAACCATACTCACTCACTCCTAATATTTTTCCAGAAGAGAATAGACAAGAGAGATCTTCCAGAAAACAACCAGTTCTTTTGCGACACATGTGACAGAGGATTTTGTTCAGATGAGAAGTACCAAGAACATGCCATGACACATGAAAAGGTTTGTATTGTATGCTGTAGCTGATCATGCTGATTGTTGATACTATGGTTAGTAATGATGCTATTTCAGTATTGACCAAGTGAACATGGTGAATGTTCAGATGTACATCAATGTCATTATGATGTTCATGTCTAATTGCATTTTATATATTAAGGCTAATACAACTGTACAACACATCCATCAGACCCGTGAAGATCCAGGTTAGAATAGGTCTTCAGCAATCCATGCTTGTCATGAGAGGCGACTATGCTTGTCGTTAAAGATGACTAATGGGATTGGGTGATGCATGTCATTGTGTCCAAATTGCGTGGATCGATTCTTATCATGCTTATGATATCAATCATTGGATTTTTTGGTCAACACTCAATTATTTACAGGCTGCCGTCATATAGCTGGAATATTGCTAAGAGAAGCGTTACACATGTTAAACAACAAGCAAACAAATGCAACCATCAAATTGACAAAACGCAAAAGAAAGTAAGGAAACATTTTCCCAGCAATTGACATTTTGATTGATTACTTTGCATTTGTCAAAGAGAAGGGATAACTGGAACTTTAATTTACTTAGATACTTTTGCAATATTATCAAAATAGTTTTGAAATTATTTCATCATGTTCAATAAGTCAGCATGTCCCTTGCAGCCATCTGTATGATGTCATCAGTGGAATGTCACTGCACGTAACAATGGTGGGAAATTTTTAATATGCATGTGTTTATCCACTTGTTGAATTGTTAAAAAAACAACAACAATTTTTTGTTTTCTTACGGATGTACATTTTATCTATATGTGCTTAAAATGTCTTTAAAAATACTGTTTGCTCTGTCATGTGCCGATTGTAAAGAAGGAGGCATGGGTGGTCCAGTCGTAGAAGTTGCCACAATTTGCTAGGCAGAGTTGTGTCCCTTGGGCATGCCAGAAAACTATGATTATGAGTTTGAATCCTGGGTAGCCCCAATTATGTTTCTAGGTTTGTCAGCACCATACCCATGCCCGTGGGTTTCACCAAATGGTAAACGTCTGAGACCTGCATCACTTCAAGCTCTCCTCCAACATATAGCTGATATAACTGGAATACTGTTAAAAGAGGCGGTTAACCCAAATCACTCACTATTGTAAAGTGTGAAATTTGCACAGAAGTTAATATATGCACCTAACACAAAAGAACATACAGTTACCTGCCTTGTTGTTCAGTTTGAGAAGTTCTATCATCACAATGACAGTACCTCATGCTTGTTCCGGGGCGGTGGGTTAGCCTAGTGGTTAAAGCATTCGTTTGTCATGCTGAACACCAGGGTTTGATTCCCCAAATGGGCAAAATGTGTGAAGCCCATTTCTGGTGTCCCCCGCCGTGATATTGCTGGAATATTGCTAAAAGCGGCGTAAAATCATACTCACTCACTCCATCATCATTTTACTCTGATCACTGTTCTCAATGTATATTTCAGTGTTCAGATCCAACCTGTTCCTATGTGGCTGCCCCGAAGTTGGTCAAGCTACACTTCCAGATGGTGAGACATTATTGCATCAAGTTGAAACTGAAACTCAAGACCTAGTAGAGATCATCGGAAATATAGCAGGCTGTCTGAAGTTCAAGACAAGCTGAGTGTCAGTATAAGAAAGTAGCACAAATAACATGAACAGTGATTTTTGCCGGGACCACCACAATACGTCTTCTTAAAACATAGGTGGAGTTTTAAGTTTTAGTAAAAAAAAGTTGCATATTATCATGATTATTAGTGTAGTGCAGTCACAAGAATTGTTTGACAGGCATCACTTAGAAGTTGACGGAGGACAAAGTAGAAACAGTCTTGCTTGACAACGGTAAAAGGTTCTATACTGAAACATCACCTTTACGGTAATTAAAGAAGTTGTTATCCATAAATTGTGTCTACTTTGTCAGTAAGACGAATGTGAGGATTTAAGGCCTCCGAGATTTTATGAGACGGAAGAATCACCCAGTACTCCATGTTTGTCATAAAGGGTAACTGATTGATAACTCATGATCTGATGCAAAGTGAACTTAGTGCTGTGACTTTTATCAGACCTTGTATGGGTCCGTTAGCAATTAGAAGTGACAACCTTTGTAATAGTCTGGTTGGTTGTGGAATGCCAGCCTTTGAAATTCATGCTAGTCCAGGACTAAACTGCAAGTGAAAATCTAATGGTGGTAGTCTTCACTGACTAGCAGCATTTGGGGGCTATAAATTTGAGCCTGTTCTCAATGTTGAAATTTTGCTACAAATTGGAAATGAATAAAACTGACAAAAAATGTAAACATAGTAAATGTTTTGGTCTCATTCAAGCAGAACTAGCTACAAACTCTGTGAAGTAGTGAAACAATGTTTACAGTAGTTCCTTTGGACTAGTTTTGCAAAGTTTTAAGGCTGAATGCCCTTAGGGCAACAGCTTTTCCTGAATACAATTGTGAACAAAATATTTTCCTGAATGTTGAAAGTCCCAGGAAGACAAACTGTTAGTCATCCCCAAGCATTGATATGTAATAGATCCTGACTCTTTACTGCCACTGCTGCAGCCTTACTCTCAACCACCCCACACGTGCCCCAGAGGCCTTGAGTCATTGACTGATTCACTATGGTTTATTCGTTTCAGCAACATCAAACAGGTCTTGCTCACAAGATATGGCAGCTTGAATCACCTCAAGACATCAAGAAATGGATTGAAGAGAGGAAAAGGTAAAAATACAGGTCTTCTGTTGGTGATGCCAGGGGGACTTGGGCATTGATCTCACACAAATGTTCCCGAATATGTCTGATACCTGCTCCATGATTCTCATGGATGATTGGACAGATGTGTTCACATTAATCTGAATCTCAAATGACCCGGGCAAAGTCTTGTGCAGAGTTTCACCCCTTAGTTATGAGATGATCGAGTGATTGTGGTGTAATCGTTTAGTGTGATGATTATCCTTTCTTTGTCGGCACCATACACAATGCCATAACTATGCTAGTGGTGTTACCAGAGCATCTTCCCGAGGCAAGCGAGTTAACTGACTATAAAAGTCTAGTTTCCACACTTGCCGAACTAGGCTGGTATTATGAAGTTATGTTTTGGCTGGACTAACGAGTCTATGCATAGTCCAATCAAAATCGCGCAATGAAATCGAAATCTGGTTTGTAAACTGTCGTGCAGATTTCAGTCGATTGCAGGATTTGAAAAGCATGTGCACCGCCAACTCGTCAGCAGATATTTTCCCAACCATTTAATGTTTTTAATCAAGGTGCTCGCGTGATTTGATGCACCTCGCGATGTAAGACCCGTTTTATGACAATATAGACCTTGATGATCGACCATATCGTCTTGACTGGGCGCCACCATTTTGTTTGAAACAAATGCAAGTGATGGAATCTGATTGGTCCATAGGAGAGGCTTAGAAGGGACATATCTCATAATAATCACTGGTGCGCTACAACCGAGCCCAGTAATTCCAGCCTAGTTCGGCAAGGGTGGAAACTGGACTTTTAAAGTCAGTTAACTCTCTTGCCTCGGGAACATGTTACCAGAGATACACAGATCAACTGAAATATACTGTTCAAAGGAGTGTTAAACCCAACTCGTACATTCACTCTCACATTTCCAAGGATTCAGTATTAAAGGGGAAATTCTTCACACATGTTCCAACAAATGACAGAATACTTTTTACCCTTACTGTTACACTTCTAGGAATTTCCCCACAGCGGCCAACGTAGCAAGGAAGAAGACGGTGGAGGCAGACAGAAGATCTCGGGGGGAGAAACTGGATACCAAGTATTTTGGGTGAGTCAAGTCTTAGTTCATGGCCACAGTTTGATCCCACAAGAGATTTTTTTTAAGCAGTAAGGTACCTCATGCTTGTTTGGTATCTTGGTAGTCAACATGGCTGCCATGTGTGGATCTTGATGGTACTGCAGAATGTCATTCTGGGCAAATGGCTGTAATCTGGCGGATTGTGTGTCACTGTACCCAAACATCATGTTTCAAGGCTCACACCTTCAACCACTAGTTTGCCTGTCCCTTTGTGCTGACAGAGTTGTGTCCCTTAGCTTTAGGGATCTGATGGTTGTTGGTTTAAGATGGTTTTGGCCCTGATTATTATCATGGCTTTTCAGCACCTCAGTGATGCCCGAGGATGCCTGTCTCTGTGGCCACATAACATTTGTGTGTTTCTGTCTTACTGATCTGGTGCCTCCCCATCCTGAGTGTTTTTGTCCCCCGCCGCGCGAAAGCGCTAAAGCGGGGGATATAGTATTCACGACCGTCCGTACGTCCCACCTGTTTGTTGCCGCGATATCTCAAGAACTAAACACTGGATTGTCTTCATATTTGGAACTATGGTGTATATACAGACTCCGCAGACACCAGTCAGTTTTGGTGACCTTGACCCCATTTTCAAGGTCACAGCAGGCATATCTGCTTTTGGAGTTAGAAAACGGTGTTGCCGCGATATCTCAAGAACTAATCTCTGGATTGTCTTCATATTTGGTACTATGGTGTATATACAGGCAGACATTTCGTCACTTCTGTGACAAATACTTGTTCTATATATACTTGAGTTGATTTGTAGCTTTTGTCACTGTCCTGGTATTGTCCAAGTTTTATGCAACTGATGTAACCTTGTTGTGGTTAACTATATATTGAAAGGGCAATCATTATCTTCATCTGAAATCAGGCTCATACTGCAAGTTTCTGTTTTTTAAGAAAGAGTCCCCCCCCCCCCCCCCCCCAAGCACAACCTACATAGTCTATTTTGGGATGGTCTGAAACAGGAAACAGCCATACTTTTTGTCAGAGCTGTTTTTTGGCCTTCCTCTCTACATTGTGACTGAAACAGTGTACAAAGTTAACTTCTGGCCAACATTTTTTGTGATTCTGTTCCAGCAAGATGAAGGGTGGAAAGCACCGAGGTAAATGGGGAAACAGGAAACGTGGCTTCGATGATGCTCAGTCTGATGTGCAACATTCTCCTGCCAAGAAAACAAACACAACAGAACAGACAGTATGTGCCTTTTGTCTCTACAGCGATCTATGCTGTCTTAGTATCAAGGATTTATCTTCAAGTCTCTTTTGTTATCTCAGTGTATTACTCAAGCTGTGCTGACTGAAGCAGCTTTTCAGATGCCATATGGGTAATAAATAATATGCAAATAAATCATTCTGATACTTTCCTAAAAGTCTTCATTTCAAAATATATCTTTCTGTGATATATGATATATGCTTTTGACTGAACCATGGGATCCTTAGTATGTCAGCAACAAGACATTTGAAGAAAGATCATATGCTTTTCCCTTGAAGGGGCGGTGGGGTAGCCTAGTGATTAAGGCGTTTTACTTGTTGTGTCCCGGGTGTCGATTCACCACATGGGTAGACTGTGTGAAGCCCATTTCTGGTGTCCCCGCCATGGTATTGCGGGAATATTGCTAAAAGCAGTGTAATACCATACTCACTCACTCTTTATTACAACCCCCAACTATTTTACCTGTTGTTTTTTAGCTCACCTGATCTGAATGTAGTCTATTGTGTTACATTTGCAATTTTTCATTTTTGTGTCCTTTTTTCAAATGAGTAAGAATTTTATTTAAAATGTTGCAAATATTAAAATATTAGGTGAGGGGTTGTTTAAATAATTGTTGCCAAATTCATACAGCATCTTCTATGCTGGATATATATTTTTTTCGAAATGTCTGCGTACTATTCTATTCAGACTGATTTTCTTTGTGTTTGTGTGGGGATGCTGTTGTTTCCACTAACGCCTCAGTTTAATATAATGTAAACATATTCCAGACACCAGCTAATGGAGACCTTAAGACTGTCGATCCTCTAGCAGCCATTTTGATGCAGCCTGGATCTGAAACCGGCACAGATACTAACCAAGATCAAGTGAATGTTGCTGGTGGACTGGCATCACTGATGGCATCTTATGGAGCAGATTCAGAAACGGAGGAAGGGCCACACACATCACACGTCAAGTCACAGCAAAGTGAGTTATAGAAGTGATGTACCTCACAGCCTGCATTTCCTGGAATTAGTTCTCTATTTGGATTCCCCCATACTTGAACAAAAGTTTCCAGCTTCGAAAAAACAATTCACCTGAACACATCCCAGCATCACCATGTCCACTACCCAAACCATTGGGTTATGAATTAAGAGAGCGGACTGATTTTTAAACATATCCTTTTTCACACTATCCATTTCTCCTTCTTCTTTCGATCCTGTCTGGAAACGTACTTGAACAAAAGTTTCCAGCTTCGAAAAAACAATTCACCTGAACACATCCCAGCATCACCATGTCCACTACCCAAAGAATTGGGTTATGTTATAAGAGCGGACTGATTTGTGAAAATTATCCTATTTCAAACTATCAATTTCTCCTTCTTTCGATCCTATGTGGATCACTTCACCTGAACACATCCCAGCATCACCATGGCCACTACCCAAACAATTGGGCTGCGTGCTATTATTCCGTGAAAAGTGACCTACATGACCTGATCACATGACTAACTCTGCCACATCATTCTCTTTCTCATCGCCACCCTTTGGAGACGTGTATTGTGTCTCAGTGAATCCTCTTTTTTTTCTGCTCCTCATGATAACATCTACAACACGATTGGTAGAAATAAGGAACAGAACAAGATAAACATACACCTTGCAAAGATTGCAGACATATTTTCTCCACTGCTGATACACATGATCTGTTTTTTTACATTTATAACATAAAAGCATAAAGATATTGAAGACAAATCTTATGAATACATACATCAAAATTATAACTTCACAGATTTCTTTTTTATTCATTAACACCAAACAATATAGACAGTACGAAATCAGTGACATTGTTCATCACGATATATATATATTGTGACATCACATCACTCAAACTATTCACTTGACTGCTCTGTGTTCAACAACACTGTGTCAAAATTGTTGAAATGATGACTAGGTTGTCTCCCTTATATTTCAACTGCTTATTTATACAGACACATCTCTAACAAGATCATGTGGCAACAACCAAACTAAGACAGACAGTACCCAGAAGCCCATGTCAAATAGACAGCGGAAACAGCAGAGGAAACAAAATGGCAGCTCGAAGATGTGGAATACAAAACGATCAACACTACTAGAACGGGTGAGTCAAACACAGAGGATGTAGTGCAGGTGTAGAAGTTACTTCACTGGGAGGTTAAATACAGTTGGAATGTTGCTAAAAGTGGTATCCTAACTCACAATAATGTTAGATCCGGGATAGGATAGGTCTTCAGCAACCCATGCTTGCCGTAAAAGGCGACTATGCTTGTTGTAAGAGGCAACTAACATGCTGGCCTCTAATTAACACTGGGTCATGCGCTCTGTCAAAAAAATAGACGCCAGGCCTCTATCAGATGCCGGGTATCTAATACTGTCATATGTTGGTCCTGCAAATGTACCCATTATAGGGACCCGTGAAGATCCGGGATAGAATAGGTCTTCAGCTACACATGCTTGCCGCAAAAGGCGACAATGCTTGTCTTAAGAGGCGACTAATGGGATCGGGTGGTCAGGCTCGCTGACTTGGTTGCTGCATGTCATCATATCCCAATTGTGTGGATTGATGCTCATGATGTCAATCTCTAGATTTTCTGGTCCAAACTTGATTATTTACCGACCGCCATCATATAGCTGGAATATTTGCTGAGTGCAGCGTTAAACAACAAACCAAATAAAGGTCTCTTTGTTAGGTTGGGAACCAGTGTGAATCAAGAAGATGATGATAATGTTCTCGTCACCTACCATGTTAGTAACATTATGTTACATTGTGTTACAGTTGCTGGCGAAGGAGATCCGGCATGAGCGGAATGTCCTGCTTCAGTGTGTGCACTACATTGTCAAGAAAAAGTTTTTTGGTGTTGACCTGGAGGGAAAAAAGAATTATTTGGGCTCAAGATGATTTTGAGTAAACTTGATGTTGAAATGGACAATATTATTTCGTTTCCTTGGTATATGCAACATGAGGAGGAAATCAGTTCTTCGAGGATTTCTCTTTTACTTTGGTTATGAAAATATAATACCTATTAATCATCCTAACTGATGGTTACATTACTTTGTTGTATTTGTCTGATAAATATTCACAAGTGCCATGTTTTTATGTTTGATGTTTTTTATTATTTGCTTTGTGAAACCAAAGGGTATGATTTTTCCACCATGAATCAAAAAGCTCTCTACATATCAGACTACTTCACCAATTGGGATTTTCTTCAATTTAGGGTCAGGTCATTATCTCCCCATTTTTCTTGTTGAAACTTGCTATAAAGATCAGTCTAGTGGTGAACTGGTACCTTTTGATGACTTGGGATATTTATATGTGTTAGTCTGTTTTCAGTCGTACAAATGGGTATCTCTCGTAGTCGCACGTTTAAAAGGAAGCCAGAAGCTGGAATGTAAACATTAAACTTGTTTCCTGTTCTTGTTGCGCACGCTCCTCCCTATGACATGTCACAAATCTCTCAGCGCGCCTCTGAGCTGGTCGCTCGAGAAAGTCTTTCGTGGTAGACTGCTAGTTTGTATTCTACTAGTACTTATCGCTTGTCTACAGTTGTTGTTCTAATAAAGTAATAATAATAATAAATATGTCTTACCTGTAGACTCCTGGAATGTAATCCTTGGTAATCCATTGTTTGTGTTCAACACGTGTTTCACTGTTTGGCTTGACTATACACGTGGCAACATGTCGGGCATTTGTGCCTCATGTCAAAGAAAACTGTCTAAAGTAGACCCTCACAAGTATTGTCCTTCCTGCATCATTAAGGATGGGTTTTCAACGTGTTCGTGGGATAAACGTTGTAAAGAATGTGAGCACTTGTCTTCTATAAACTTTAACTTGTATCTTCGTGCGTTGGCGAAGCGGGCTGCTGACCAGCGCTACAAGCAGAGAAGGTCATCGGTGGATCCTTGGACTCTGCACCCTCCACATCCGGCCCTGGGGGTGGCGAGTCGGCCACACCCAAGAAATTAGTTGATAAAGACCCGCCTCAGTCAACTTCTGTTTCTTCAAGACACGTGACCATTCGCCTGCTGATGATACTACCCGCATGACTGATCTTCGTCAATCGGTTGATCGAGAGTGTCACTCAGCCTCCCCAGTTACGACCGGTTGGTGACGAGGACCATGAAGGGACTACGGTCCCCAGTCGGTCCATATCTCGTTCTACCAACGATGATAGGGACGTCGTGCGGGACAACAGTGAACTCAGACGGGACGATTGGTCGAGTGCCTTGTAGAGAGACAGTAAACGACACGAGGACGTTCATTGCCTTCGTGGTCGTCAGGAGTACGATTCGGACGATAACTACAATGGGGATCTCAGTACTTCTACAGTTAGAGATCGTAGGCCTCGTCCCCACAAGGACGTGCGGCGTTCTCGCAGGGAGTTTCTGGGAGATCAGAGTCGTTGAGATAATGACAGAAAGACACCCTCACTTTCACTTTCATATCGACCCGGCTTTGATAGCCCAGATCATGGCGGCGGTACTCCCCTTGACGGCTTCGACCAAGGGGGTCCATGGGCCGTCAACCAGTACACCATCTCCTTCATCTACACCTACACAATTGACGTCGATGATGGATTGTGACGACAGCCTCTCGGACGTCCTCGCCCAGTCCCGATATGTATCGGGCCAGATTACTACAGCACGTCGCCATGGTTACATCGACTGCACTGAACTACCTGATCATCATGGCAAGACCCTCTTACGGGCCCTGTGGTCATCGCAACAGTTGTTTGACGGTCGTACCAACGAAGTTCTGGACAAGTACTCCAGGGAAGCCGAGCGTGACATCATCATTTCGGCTTCACACAACCTTTCCAGACGGCCACCGGTTTCGAACGCCCCACGACGACGTTACAGAAACGAGAATGTGCGTGCCTTCATGGTTGAAGATCAGTCACGTAAATTCCGACCGCCGCCCTGGGACCTCGATGTCGTTCTGCGCAACCTGTCTAGTCAGACTTACGAGCCTCTAGATCAGGTCGCGTTCAACTTATGGTCTCAGAAAACAGCTTTCCTTCTCTCGCTGGCTACGGCAGCGAGAGTATCGGAAATACATGCCATTGACGTCGGTCGGATTACGTTCCATCAGCGTTACCATGGCAACGTCCATCTTGGTCTCAGATGGGGTTTTTTAGCGAAAAATCAACTACCTGGCCAAGATTCGAGAATGTGCAACGGGCCTTTCGTAGGGACATGCAAGAGAGATTCGGACAGGAAAGGTCGCCAGGTCTCCTTTTCCAAGTATCCCAGAGGGGGAACAAGCCAGCGAGGGAAGAAGTGAGGACCCTTCCCCCGCCGTCACCGTCGATGCAGTCTCCCCCGGTGACACTACCTTTAGATGAGCTACCGGTAGGGGGGAGACAGGTGGGCTTTCCTCAATGACCCTTACGTTCAGAACATTTTGACAACAGGCTACGCCCCAAGCCTGAGATCGACGCCACCACTGACGTCATCCCCGACATTCCACACCCCACCAACGGATCGGCTGACGGAGGCCATCGATTCATTGGTGGAAAAGGCGGAAGTACTTCGCCTAGGGACATCGGCACCATCGACGGGGTACTACTCGCCCATTTTTTTAGTACCCAAGAAAAACTCCACAAAGATGCGGCTTATTTTCAATCTCAAAAAGTTCAACACAACATACCTCCAACAACCCGACACATTCACCATGATATCCCTCATCTCTCTGCTTCCTCAACGACTTCCTCGTCTCGATAGACCTTCAGGACCCGTATCTCCATGTACCAATAGCTTCCGAGTTCCAGAAGTACCTCCGATTCGTATACCAAGGTATTCATTACCAGTGGGCGGCCCTCTCGTTTGGAATTTCTACGGCCCCGTGCATTTTCACATGGATCATGAAGACGGTTGTAGAATGTCTCGGCAGGCGATCAGGGTCGCCTTCTACCTAGACGACGGGCTCCAAGCTCACCAGTTCACAGAAGCCCTTCAAGGAGAGTTAGCGACCACCCTGAGTCCACTAGGGTACCTCGGGTGGATCGTCAACCTTCAAAAGTCGGACTTGGTACCAACTCGGGATCTACAGTACATTGGGAAAGGCTTCCAGACGGGAGTCAATCTGGTCAGGGTTCTTCAAGATCGTTGGGACAAGCTTGTCAGCAGCATTCTGAGACTTCTACATGCCCCGGTGTCGATGCACACGTGGCAGGAAGTCCTCGGTCTGTTGACATCGGCCCAAGACCTGACTCGCCGAGGCCATCTTCAACTTCGTCCGCTGCAGAGATGGCTGTAACCCCACCTGGAGTTTCCCACTCTCCTGGTTCCACTTCCTATGTTGTTATCTGGAGTGGTGGCTCCAGCCGTCGTACGTTTGCGAAGGCGACTTTATGAGCAAGCCTCCGTTCATACTACACCTATTTGTAGACGCGTCATTTGAAGGCTGGGGAGCGCACTTTGGGGACGACCAAGCGGCCAGGCTGTGGTCGCCAGAAGGAAAGGTCCACCACATCAACTGCCTCGAGATGGAAGCAGTGATTCAGGCACTCGAATTCTAGACACTTCAACTCGGCTGAAACGGCTGATGATACAGTCAGATAACTCCACAGTCATCCACTGCATCAACAAACAGGGAATGACTCGGAAGCCCTTCTGGACCGGACATTCAGGTTCTTCGTCGACGACTTGGACATGTGCGTACGCGCCCGTCACATCCCGGGGGCCAAGAATGTGATAGCCGACGCCCTGTCGAGACCATCAAGGCCGTCTCCCACGGAGTGGATGATCCATCCGACAGTCTTTCATCTGCTTGCCCCATGCAAGTAGATCTCTTCGCAACCCGGTACAACAACCGCCTCCCTCGATTCGTGTCGCCGGTTCCAGACCCACGGGCATGGGACCACGACGCTCTAGCGATGTCGTGGGAGGGTCTAGACGCTTACGCGTTTCCGCTAACGGTGCTGTTACCATAGATACTGGAGAAAGTTTGTCAAACGGCCAACCTACGTCTGCTTTTGGTCGCGCCTTATTGGCCGGCCAGAATGTGGTTCCCGGAACTTCTTCAGATCATCGATCAGCCACCGTTCCCGTTGCCAGATCAAGACGACCTCCTTCTTCATCATCACACTGACGACTTGCATCCGGGGATAAAGAACTTCCAGCTTTACGCCTGGGTTTGCTTAAGACCTCGTTAATGAAGACAGGATATTCGGCTAAAGCGGCAGCGCTTGTCTCGTCGGCACATCGAGTTACGGTACGATGACAAGTGGACCACTTTCTCCATTTTCGCCAGGTCTCATGGCTTCAACCCGGTGGTAGCAACCCCACCAAAATAGGTGGAGTTCCTAGTCTATCTCCGGTCATCTCACGCCAAAGACCCGGGTTCGATTCCCGACATGGGTACAATGTGTGAAGCCCATTTCTGGTGTCCTCCGCCGTGATATTGCTGGAATATTGCTAAAAGCGGCTTAAAACCATACTCACTCACTCCGGTCATCTCGGCGTCTGAAAGGGTTGACGATCTCGACTTATTTGGCAGCTTTGGCTTCAGTCGTGCCGTCTCCTACGGGCGACAAGCTCACTAAAGTACCGGAGTTGCAGAAGATTCTACATGCCTTCATGGTTGAAGATCAGTCACGTAAATTCCGACCACCGGCCTGGGACCTCGATGTCATTCTGCGCAACCTGTCTAGTCAGACTTACGAGCCTCTAGATCAGGTCGCGTTCGACTTATGGTCTCAGAAAACGGCTTTCCTTCTCTCGCTGGCTACGGCAGCGAGAGTATCGGAAATACATACTATTGATGTCGGTTCGATCAGCATAACCATGGCAACGTCCATCTTGGTCTCAGATGGGATTTTTTTGCGAAAAATCAACTTCCTGGCCAACATTCGTGAATGTTCCACATTCCTTCCTTGTCTGCCATTATGGGCCCTCATGATCACGCTGATCTCACCCTGTGCCCAGTTTGTGTGCAGTACTTTGGCTTTTTTATTATGGTTATTCGGTGTACGCATCGTCTTCCCATACTTTATAGTACTGCTCGAATTTTTTAGTTACCTTGTATACTGCGAGTTGTTCGTTACTAAATTATACGCCGACCACACTTTGATCGCAATTCAACTGACATGTGCAGTTGTCCTATCGCATCAATAATTAGTTGTGTGTCCAAGAGCATTAACCATGCTATTTTTAGTTACCTTGTCTATGGCAAGTTGTTCTGTAACTAAATTATACGCCGACCACACTTCGATCGCAATTCAACTGACGTGTGCAGTTGTCCTGTCGCATCGATAGTTACTTGTGGGTCGAAGAGCATTAACCATGCTGTTTTAGTTACCTTGTATACTGCGAGTTGCTCTGTAACTAAAACTATACGTCGACCACACTTCGATCGCAGTTCAACTGACGTGTGCAGTTGTCCTGTCGCATCGATAATTAGTTGTGTGTCGAAGAGCATTAAGCATGCTGTGCATTCGTGATAAACAACTTGTCTTGTCCGTGCATCTGGTCGAAAGTTCTATTGTCACTACAGGGGTGAGGAACTTGGTACTTTCGACGTGAAAGAGGTCACTTCCTGATTACTTTCCTGACCCTCCTTCCAGTGTTCCGTCGAATTCTACCCATTTGTACGACTGAAAACAGACTAAAACATGGGGTTTTCAGATTAAAAACGATGTTTTATTGGTCTGTTTTCAGTCGTACGTTCCCACCCAGCCATCCCCACAGAGAAGTAATCCAGTCCAGTCCTGCTTGATGGCTTATTCTTCGAGATTTGTGACATGTCATAGGGAGGTGCGTGCGCAACCGGACGGAAACAAGTTTAATGTTTACATTCTGGCTTCCTTTTAAACGTGCGACTAGACTGGAGGGTACGAGAGATACCCATTTGTACGACTGAAAACAGACAAATAAAACATCGTTTTTAATCTGAAAAACCCATTTTTTTAAATTTATTGAAACTTATGATGACAAGATGGACTTATACTGAAAATAAGGGAAGTGCTCATTTCAGGAGCAGAACTCAAAAACAGTTGAATATTTCTTGATGAAACTTGCTATACAGATCAGTCTAGTGGTGAACTGATGTCTTTTGATGATTTGGATAATGAAGGATCCTGAACAGCATTATATTTTCCTTCACTGAACTGAAGGTATCCCATGGCAATGAACCAAAAATAAGGTATAAGTAGCCATTTCTCCATTTCCAATTTGCACCAGACCGGTGGGATATGTCATCTTCTGATGACTGTTGTTTTATTATGCTATGGTGAGTTTGAAAGAATGTTTAACTACATCAGGTAGTCTGTTTTTGTAGAATTTAATTTATGGATCCCTAGCTTGCCTAATAGCTGATCCATAACTTATCTGCTTGATTTCGCTGTACAGAGTTGCGTCCCTTGGGCATGCCAGAAACCTATGATCGTGGGTTCGAATCCTGGGTAGCCCAGATTATGTTTCTAGGTTTGTCAGCACCATACCCGTGCTCGTTGGTTTCAACAAATGGTAAATGTCTGAGACCTGCACCACTTCGTTCTGTCTTCCCACATTAAGCTGACACACCATGATATAACTGGGGGGGCGGTCGGGTAGCCTAGTGGTTAAAGCGTTCGCTCGTCACGCCGAAGACCCGGGTTCGATTCCCGACATGGGTACAATGTGTGAAGCCCATTTCTGGTGTCCCCCGCCGTGATATTGCTGGAATATTGCTAAAAGCGGCGTAAAACCATACTCACTCACTCACTCACTGATATAACTGGAATACTGTTCAAAGCGTCGTTAAATCCAACTCACTCACTTTGCATGGACCACATCCTTGAAAACAGCTGCACAAAGGGCAGTGCTGTCTCGGGATATGAGCCAATGATAAATGTGCACATGCACAGTAATCACCAGTCTGTTAAACAATGCTCAGTCAGCTCAAATGGACTGCTCTACTTTTAATCAAGGCCAAGAGGCAGGTCAAGGTTTGTCTCGGTCGTGGTGACCTGACATGGGGACTCTCATCTCCTTCTGTCCGTCTCGTGTGTCTGCTGCAGCCATGTTGACAAATGGCAGACCACTGTGATAGGGATCAAAGTTGACACTAAACATGAATACCTGCCCACTCTTGCATGCATCAACAAATAAGTGCAACTGCACTGGTTAGCTGTGTAAGTATAAACAACACAAATGGCTCCTATATAACTGATAAGACCTGAAGGTGAGACTGATTGCATGGAGTGACAATGTGTGCAGGTGCATGTCAGCTAGGGAAGAGACCTCACAACAGACTGGCTATCCTTGAGGGTCCTGATGGGTGGGTCACATAAGCAGTAAAATTTAGGGTACTTTTTCATTAAGCAGTAATTTTTCTTCTTTTTCAATAAAATCGTTGCGAAAAATTCCTAAAACGGCCATGGAGGGACATGGGACTTTTAATTCTGCTTTCGTTTCATCCTGACAATTCATATTTTTAATACCTGGTAAAATCTGAAATCGCTAAACATTCTAGACTGGTCCCCTGCGTCAGTTGCGCAGCCTGCTTTCTGTGGCGAAGCATTTGGGTCTTGAAGACAGACTGTTTTTGACCATTTTAATCATTTTACGATAAGCAGTAAATTATTTATTTACGTTAAGCAGTTATTTTTTGGTATTTTATGATAAGCATTTACGATAAAAAAAAGATGAATTTTACGTTTACGATAGTATTTGAAGTGTGTTTTACGTTAAGCATTAAAACCCATCAGGACCCTCATCCTTAGCTTATCAGTCTTCTCTGTGCACCTGGGAGGATCGTAGGTTTGTTTGTTTGTTGTTTAATGCCTCACTCAGCAATATTCCAGCTATATGACGGTGGTCTGTAAATGATGAGTCTGGACCAGACAATCCAGTGATTGACATCATGAGCATCGATCCATGCAATTGGAGTATGATGACATGCAACAACCAAGTCAGTGAGCCTGACCACCTGATCCCATTAGTTGCCTCTTACAACAAGCATAGTCACCTTTTACGGCATGCATGGGTTGCTGAAGACCTATTCTACCCCGGATCTTCACGGGTTGGGTAGGGACCACATACTGGTTTGCCTGTTTACACAAACCCTGAGGAGGGGGGTGCACCACCCATTTTGAAGGTGATTGGGGATACTAAAAATGAACATTTAGAAACAAAACACTGTGACATATTTGTTGATATATGTTCAGTACAATTACACAATTACTGAACACAGACTGACAAGTCACAACATGTACCCCTCCTTTTCCAAATTAATGTCTGAGCTCTACCTGGATCAAACTTGTTTACTGACTACAATGATATAGCTGGAACATTGCTGACTAAGGTGTAAAACAATATACACAGATGTACATGGATGGACAGTCAAACTATCAACCTGCATGTTATATACTCTCACCATTAACCAATGGTTTGTCTGGTCCAGATCTGATTATTTCTGGCTGCTGGCATATAGCTGGAATATTGATGAATGCTGCATCAAACAATGACAGTCAAACTATCAACCTGCATGTTATATACTCTCACCATCAACCAGTGGTTTGTCTGGTCCATCTGATTATTTTCTGGCTGCTGGCATATAGCTGGAATATTGATGAATGCTGCATCAAACAACAAAGAAACATGTCTGCAGGAATATTAAGAGGATCTAAACTTTAAATTTCACATAGAAGAAAATAAATGAGAGTTTGCATCCAATTTTCATTTTTTCCCAAAAGATGGGTAAAATGTGTAAGGCATACAGTATTTTATTGTTATGGTTAATGTAAAACAAAATTTAATTACAATTTAAATAGTATTTATTACACTATAATGAAAAAAATTCTTTTTCTATGTAAGTGTTAATTTAGCACCATAACTAATAAGTAGGATTTGCATAATTTGCTGTAAAGGGACTCATCTTTTTCCATTTAGACAAGACTTCATACAGACAAGCCAACACACTTAAACGTTTCAAGTCCTTCAAGTAGGGGTACAGGATTCTAAGCATTTTCAAAATGACAATTATTTGATTAAATTTCCTCTGACAAGATTGTTTGAATGAAAAAAAATTCAATTATTTTAATTCCTTTTCACAAAATATAGACTTGCATGTTCCTCCATGAAAGCATGATTGCAATTTATGTCTGGGAAAAACGAATGTGCCCTTGGAGAATTAGACTAAAAAAATAGTTTCAGATAAGAAATGTAAACATATTTCAGTAAAAACATGATAAATCCACTTCTCTCTCCACTCATACCACAGTTTGTTGGATTGTGTGATCCATGTGAATTAAAACGTTAGGCAAACTTTATTTTAGGTCACTTATTCTAACAAACAATTTCTAAGAAAATTCCCATACTACGTTTGTATCTGGTTGCAATAAATACAGATTGAGTCATTCTCTCATGATGGCACCAAGCCGCCCTGTAGCCAACCAAAACGCCAGACTGATTGAGCTCCCATCACCGCGTTATCTTCGTAACAAGTTGGTACGTTCAGTGAACCCTAATAGGTCGGTGCGTGGAGCTTGAGGTTTGGAGCACCTGCACAGTTTGAGAGACGTGGAAGTTGGTTACTGACTGACTGCTTGCTGGAAACTGGTCGTCAAAATGTCGAGCGGTGAAAGTGCACGAAAATATGACTTTGTAATCTTCGGTGCCACTGGGTTTACTGGTCAGTTTGTGGTAGACGAGGTCGCACGACTAGCTGAGGAAGAAGGGGTGACATGGGCGGTAGCCGGCAGGAAGATGGACAGACTACAGAAAGTCCTGGAACAGTCGGGGCAGAGAACAGGTCAGCATCTCTGAATGTGTACGGTATCTGTGATATACTGCAGTGACAGCTCATACCCACCATCCGCCAACACGCCACACATGTTGGGTGACACACCGGCATTATCAGGATGCTTCTCATATTTTAAAAATGTCTAATATGTTTGCCATGGTAACATGCAGTTCGAGATGCGGGACCTACTGCTGATGTTTACTGTAGTGTTAGGGATATTCCTGACATGTCATGTTTGTCAACGTATCACTTTTTGTTGCAATACATTAAGGGATACAGGCAATCACACATTCATATTTCAATCTATAAGAAAATTCAAATTTCAAATAAATGTGCGAACTTAATTTTAAAATGAAGGGCATATTAAATTTTAAGCATAGTAAGCTCTAAGACATATGGTGCAAGCCTTTTGATTCTCAATAAAGGGGCAAAACACATATTTTTATAGTCAGCCTTGTTATAGATTGTTAAGGCCACATGTTCAAAGCAGCTTTAAAAAGATCTTGAGTGAGTCATCCATCATCACTTCCTGGTGAAACATCTGTTTCCGTGGCAGTGACAAGTCGCCATGTGCAGCTGATCATGATGATGGAAACATGTACACTATATATAGCCTGGAGTACAAATGATCAGCATCTGAAATTAGCATGATAGGTATATCAGTGTTTTGCAAGAAATATGCTACTGGTATGTTATTCATTTCCATGTATTTTATGGATGATTAAAGACTTAATATCAACTTGGATGCAATGGTTATCCCCATGCATAAAATTGGGGAGTTGGGAGAGTGTCTGTGTGTGTGTATTGGTGTCTTTATTCATCTTTCCCTCATTCTGACAGCACCATACAATGACAGGAATAGTCCTAAAAGTATGCACATTGTCTTAATGGTGAGAATCATAATCATAATTAACAGTTCTTAAGTTTGGGCATGTTAACAGGATAAGACCTGAGACGATTAGAGCTGTCGCTATGAAACCTTGCACAGGCCTTTTTGAAAACTGTTATGAATCAAATTTTATGTTATTTTAACAAGATTAATAATGTCATGAATTCTCCCTAAGCAGTCTTTTGTATCTGATTTAATCTAAAAATAATAGTTTACCAAAATCAGACAGTTTCAGTTTCACGCCAGGCTCGAATAATCTGCAATACACCACACATTCCCTGTTTAATAGTAATCGCCCTGCTTCAATAAGTGCCTTCTGACTAACTTCTACTCTCACATATAAATTATCTTTATAAGCACCCCCTGCTGAGACTACACAGAAGGGGTATTATCGAAAATGTTGTTTCATTGATGTTTGAACTAATTAGTTTACCATTCAGTCTCTGAAAACCAATTTGACTTGTGTGTGGTTCTAATAGGCACCTTACACCTGTGTATTTTAAAACGCCCAGAGCTATAACAGCAAAAACGAATTAAAACATGAGCATTTGAGAAGCATTTTCTTTGTTAGTACCTTTTTGGCACAAATCATCATCAATAGCGGTGTATGAATTCCTCTGCAAAATTGATGTATGATTTTCTCGAATACATTCTGATGATAACAATCTAAGTCCAACAGTCATACACTATATACCATGTTCATATGTTTGACTATGATTCATGGCTGTGTGGGAGATGGTGTCACTGATTGCTCTATTGAAGGCCGGCCACCAGTGGGGCATTGGAATGTGAGATCACTATAGGTCTAGCATCCATAATGCCCCAATCAGACTCGTTACACTGGCTGTTGGTAAAAGTCCACAAAAAATCAACAATGTGTAAACTGACAATTGCATTATTAGCTATTTGAATGCAGACACATCCTCCCTCACTATTTGGCGAGTCTTACACATTCCTGTGTGTGGGTGTGTCAGCTTGCCTGGTGACTCTATATTCGGACAGGTGAACCCTGTTAGACTCTGGGGCTTACCAAGCACTCCACACACTGTCACAATACCTTTCAGGTGCAGGTTTGAAAAGTGATTAAGTGGCTTGGGATGTTGCTGTGGTGCTCATCATTTCATGTCTGTCTCAGAAGTTAGGTACAGAGTTGTTTGAATGAATATTTTCCCATTCAACCTGTTTACTCATAGTATGACCTCTGTGACCTGGGATCAAACATTCAGCATTCCCGTTTACAAGTAATTACCAGTTTTTTACCAGTAAAATTAGGCTTGGACTGGTAATTCATGGACTGGCAAATAAAGTACCTTATAAATCTTTGTTGTTGGACAAAACATCGGTGATATTCATAAAAGTACTTTCTTCTAACAAAGTCAGCTTGTCTGTTACCCTCAGGGTTTCCCCTTGTCTTTTTCTAGGTTAAAAATCCATTTGTAGCGACTCAAAATATTATAAAAAAAGAGAGCGAAAATTGTGACCGAAGTTTGTGTGAATGACGTATAGATCTAATTTAGTTACTTCAGAAATGACATCTTTGCACTGAACATGTTGAAAGAATTAAAACCAAATAATTTTCATACGTTTATTTATTTGTTGAAAGTTGGGACTGGGAACTGGTAATTTTTAGAGTTGCCAGCATAGCTGTCAACCCCTGGATGTCTAAATGAGTGAGAAGCCAGGGTGCAAGCCACGCTGGGTCCAGGGATAAGCCCTGGTGGAGGGGGGTGCAGTGGGGCACAGCCCGGCGAAAACTGGTTTTGAATGATTTTAAGACCATTTTAATGGCATGTATTCTGAAATAACAACAAGTAATTGCACGAAAGGGGAAAGAATGAACCCAGTCTCGCCGTGTTGGTTGCAATCGCGATAAATCGAAAGTGAAAAGCATTTCAAAATATTTTTATCTACATTTTATATGAATGCATGAGAATTTCCCAACCTTGCGTGTTAGCATGACATAGGTGATAAATGCGTGAGATGCGTGCGAGTTGACAGGTATGTGCCCGTCCACAAGGACTGGCAGTTTCAAAAGCCATCAGGAACACTGACATGTGAGTTAGCTGGTTCCTGTACCACGGATGAGTGCAACTGTCAACTGATCAAACATTCTAATTTTGTGATTATAACTGAAGACTGCAGCTGTAGTATAAGATCCTACACTTAAGTTTGCTGATATCTGCACCCAGTGTTTGTAATAAGCGCCTGCATGAGGTCCGTGGCTGGTAGATCTTGTATCAGGCCTGTAGTTTCAAAGTTGTATGGGTTCATATGGTTGAGGCATGTCATCGCATCCCAACTGTGTGGATCGATGCTCATGATGTCAATCACTGGATTGTCTGGTCCAGACTCAATTATTTGCAGACCGTAGTTATGAAGATGGAATGTTGCTGAGTGTGGCATAAACAACAAACAAACAAATCTTATGACCTGCAGTAGATTTATGTGTTGATTTATTGGTCACAATAAGCTGTATTTTTTTACATGAGGGCCTGAAGAGTTGAGTCAGGACCTGAAGAGTTTAGTCAGGGCCTGCAGCTTCTACAGTTTGTGGGTCCTGATGGGAACCTGACAGGTTTTATTGATTTCAAACACTGACAGCACCGCTGAAGTACAGCAACAAAATTGGTGAATTAACATGATTAGCATATGACAAGATGATAGTCTTTGTGATGACTTTTTTTATAGGAAGTCAAAGTTTAACATCATTGATATCTTTTAGATGTTTTCACCAATGCCAAATATGCAGCATGACATACTTTCAGGTCACCCTGGCACGTCATTGGAGTTTGATGTCGTTCATCATAAATATCGTACATTCTTCACCTGCACTGCTGGGTTAAGCCCAAATTCTGTTTGTGTCCTTGGCCATAAAATCTCATAAAAGCATCATGGCCTTTTCTTCTATTTGTCATGTGACAGATTGTCATAATGGATGTTTTAGTTTAGCTTACCTGACTGCCTGGGGGCCCGGGTGGCCCAGCCGTCTAAGGCACAGCGATTCACTGTGCAGAGTTGTGTCCCTTGGGTATGCCAGAAACCTATGATTGTGGGTTCGAATCCCGGTTCGCCCCGATTAGGTTTCACTGAAGTGGTAAACGTCTGTGACCTGCATCACTTCTGGCTTTCCTCCCACATTAAGCTGACACGCCGCGATATAACTGGAATACTGTTAGAAGCGGCGTTAAACCCAACTCACTCACTCACTTACTACCTGACTGCCTGTCTTCGTGCATTTACTGTCACCCTTCCATCCGTCTGTCTGTTGTAAACTTGATCTCATCTGAGGCCACAAGGCCCATGAAGCTAAAGCTCACAGGAATTAAGGCTTGTTATGATCATATACTACTCAAAAGAAGTTAGAGAACACCCATTTGTTTTATTTGACTATAGTTAATCTGTCATGGCCATGACAGATTAACTATAGTCATATGAAAAAATTGGGTTTCTCTATATTTTCCAGTCTTATTTAGCATTTTGTTTTGTTTTTATGGGGAGTAAGGTAATACAAGCCAATACAAGCCTGAGTAGTTATCAGGTCAGTTATTGCGAAAGTCTGTTGATATTACCTTTAAAATCGTTACAGAATTAGTCATCAATCAATGCATAGTAAGGATTATCTAGCTTGTAATTGTCAAATGTAATATTAACATGATTAATACATTAGTGAATCAGGACAACCCAATATCAACTACAACTTGTGAAAACCTGTGTTGTTTGAATTATGTATGTGGTCCTAGCAATGATGTCAATGAAATTTCACAGACCCAATCAATTTTGTGCATTGCAGCCAATATTGTTTTATTTATGTACATGTACCTGGAATCAGCTATTGAGTAACCCGCGTGTGATGTAACAGATAGGGTATGTTGTGTAAGAAGTGTAGTATGATGGTATACAAATTCCAGAACAAATGTCTGTATGTTATTGTGAGATGTCTTATTAATGTAGCTAGAAGCTAGGGCTTGGACAGGTAACTCAGGTACTTGGGACGGGTGGGTCCTGAGAAGGACCTGGGTACCCACAGGACTACTCGGACCCGTGGTTAGTCATGTGATATATTGTTTAATAACACAAAATGATCTGGAACTATAGTCTGGAAGGTAATTTAAGGTACAGA